GATTCTAAATATGGGGCACTTTCCTAATTTACCCTGTAACCACACCTTGATAAAATCTGAAAAGCTCATTATCAGTATACTGTCTCCTCTTTAATTACAATCTAAAATTTTAATTCATAACAACACGAAGGCCAGGAATGAACGAAAGAACAAATGAACAAACAGATAAATACACAAATATTTCTGAGCAATCCTTTCACATTTTCTGTTAGTACAAACTCAGTTGAACATAACTTCTGACAATGGTAGTGATAAGCTTTTAAGGGAGGAGAAAATCAGTGATGCTATAAGCATCCAGTAAGACTGCAGTTAAATGACAATGGTCTGCTAGCATGCTTCTTATCACTGAATTGTTAGCTTTATCTTTAGCAGTGACAGCAGGTTCAAAAGGCACACATAGCACTGAAATACAGCCCTTATCAATTTCCTTAACGGCCACCTGACAACTTCTCATAATTTGCAAGTTGAATGCTGTTCATGGTATTTCAGAAAAATAGTTTCCTTAAGAACGAAGAAGCATACTCTCCTGTTCTCATGTAAAGGGCTTGGTATATTTTCAGAAGCAGAAACATACACCAAGACAAAATTGATAAAAATAACCCTGGCCCCAATTTTGCCAAATACACATTACTCACCCTATTTCTATGTAAATCACATAACTACCATGACATACATAATCTAAGCATTACATCAGTGCACAATGCTCCTAACTATTCCAGCTTCAGCCGTGCTCAGTATTCGGCGTTCTGTGACCCGCAGCAAATGGAAAGGAGCCAGGAATCACAGTCCCTCCTGCGATGGGAGCCTGCGTTTCAGTGATGGAAGATTAATGAGGGCTTACTCTGATAGGGCCAGTTATTGAGCAGGAAACTCAGTTTGGGATCTCATTATCAAAGGACCCACCTTTGCCCTTAATGAATCCTAGCCAGTATTGTTGTTAGAGGTGCAGAAAGTCACCTAAACAATTATTTTAATGGTAGAACACTGAAGATAATTAAGGAAAAAAGAAAAACACTGCATATGTAAACTAATGAAACACAACCAAAAATACGTGATCATTAATAGAGTAAGAAAAATGTTAGAAAAATTCTCCATTTCATCACACCCCTCCCACCACTATTCATTGTTAACAATCTCTACGTTAAAAACATCAAATTTGTTTTTAAAATTAAATTTGGGAATATTCTCAACATTTTCCTATTATGTACAGATTTGAGAAACAGGCCAACGAAATACAACAAAGAAACAGGATGAAAGATTTCATAACACGATCTTCCTATTAACATTATAACTTTGTCAAATATCTTTCATTTTGCCCATTCTCTGTGACAAGAGAATAGTTGCGGAGAAGGGAATTTTCTCCAGGTTAGAATATATTCTCTTTTCCCTCATTTCTCTTTGTTTACTCTAGGATTCTCAATAGTGACAGAACTGTTCCCTAAAAGGGGTTTGGAAATATACGTCGAGTCATTTTTCAGGAATATGTTTAAGCATTTTATCGTCACAATGATTAGGGATCACTTCAGGCAATCAGTGGCTGGGGGCCAGGATGCTCAGCATTTGCCATGTACTGGACATTCTCATCCCACAAGGACCTGTCCCCCATTCCACACGACTTATTAATGTCTCATGAGACTAATCACACTACATATATCAGTCAATATTACCTTCATAATAATACTAGAATTAAAGAGTTTTTACAAGAAGTTACACAAAAATGTCCCAGCAATTATAGGAGGGGTCATAATGGAGAGGGAAGCATAAATAGAATAAAGGCATCATATCGAAAGTACTGCATAATTAATTCATCCTGTGTAGCAGCACATTTAACAAACACCAATGTATCCTCCACCCAGATTTAGCAGACATTAACATTTTGCCACAAGTGCTTCAGAAATTTTTTAAATCAAGATAATATATTATCAATAGAATGGAAGGCCCCTTTGTATCACTCCTTAATTCGAATTCTTTTAAAAATGTTTTGTACTTTCTATAACTTCTGTAAGAATTCTTTCCTAAGAAAGAAATTATAAACATGACATTCCATATTTAGGTCTTCTAGTCAATCTAGAATTTATTTTATTTTTATGCATGGTGTGAGACTGGCTTTGATTTCTCCCCTCCTCTCCACAGTTACCCAACTGTATCAGGGTATTTATTCAATAATCCTTTCTTTTCTAATTGATTTTCTTTTCTAATAGACCCATCGTTGTCATATACCAAATTCCATATACGGGTGGGTCTGTTTTGTGTTTCCTCTTCTGTTTTACTAGATTATATGAATATCACTGCATTAGTTTTCTTTTGGTTAATATTTGCCTGACATATGTTTTTTATCTCCTTTTTGATTCATATCCTTAAGTTTTCATTTCTTATAAATAGCATATAGATGGATTTTTAAAAATATCTGAAAATTTGCTTTATTAGGAAATCTAATTAGCTTACATTCTTTCTATATTTTTACAGGACTGGTTGACTTTTCTTTGTTCCACACACCCCCTTCTATGGGTTGAGAAGTAACACATTCTCTTTCTATTCTTTTAGTGATTACCATTACATTTAATATGCATTCTTGTACTTCTGCATTTCTTGTGAAGAGAGACACTGACTGCCTTTTGTTCTAGATTATATTTTCAAATATGTTTGTATAAAAACAGCCTTGGAAAATACAGATAGAATCTCCCTTTGCAGCAAAGGACAGGTTTCTTATAAACTTGGAAGAAAAAGATAGCGTCTCTCTCCCTCCAGAACAAAGAGAAGGCATGCTGTCTACTTAAAAAAAAAAAATTCAAACACCCTAAGCTCAGAGTTCTTCTCCTTTAATGCAGTCCACCATATACGCAGGTATCATCCGGACCCCATGTTGTCTCTGTGGGATTTGGAGGCCGGGAAACCACACCAATGCGCTAATGCTCATGCTGCCTGCTGTGCTAAGTGATGAAGTCCTCTGCCTCTGACCCAGGAGTCTTAGGTTTTCTGCCAGGATCCTCGAAACAGTAACAGGCTCATTATTAGCTTTTACATAGGGTGAAATCAAATCCCAGCTCTGCAAGGGTCCCTGACATGATGTCTAACTATAACAAGCGTATTTATCTTCCCCTCAAGTAATGCCATTATGGAGAATTTTATTTCCACATTTGATTAGATTTACAAACCTGTGAGGATTAGAGGCGTGGTTATTTAAAGAGGGTGGAGTAGTGCTTGGCACAGTCAGCACTCAGTACACGTTCACACTACTATGTTTTAACAGTGGTTTTTCCTCACCACTCCTCATACCATACTCAGAGTTCCATTTTTGTGATTAACTAAAGCAGAGATAAATTATTCTTCCTTTTGTGATTCCTTTCTTAGTACCATCTATGTTCATGAATACATCTAAAGATTTTATCAGACTGTCTTCATAATTCCATCTATTTTTCCAAAATATGATGTATTCTTCTTGTCAACCTGTAACACTGACTGAACCAATGTAGTTTCCTGTTCAGCACCGAGCACAATTAGGTGCTTTCAAGACAATGTTTTGAAAATAATTATCCCTTCTTTTAGTCTGTATCTTAGTTATTAGTATTTTTTCCCTCAAAAATCTAACACTATTACCAACTCAGCAGTCAGCTCCTCTATAACGTCTTCAACTCTTAGCCATAAGATTTAATCTAGTATTGTCTTGTATTATATCTCACATTTATAATGTGAAGCAAGAAAGGACGGGTTACATAAAAATGAATACTTACTATGATAATATGTATACTGGTTAATTTTTTATAAGGTTTTTCATCTCTATCCATAATTATAGAGCTTGTCCTTATTTTACTTCTGTTTGTTTTATAGTCTGCGTATGTTCTTTTCAGAGCCATCACTGAATAAGCGATGTACTCAAACGAAAGGTATTTCTCCATAAGCCTAGAAGCAAATGACACGGTCTACGTGAGGGATGGCCATTTTAGGCCTGGTGATCACGTCACAGCTCAATACTAAGAGCTGTGAACTTGGGGTAAGTAGACCTACGTTTTAGTCTCTACCCTCCCAATGTGAGATGAACTAGAGTGGGGCAGAGGGTTGTCAAATGATGTAAGTTAAAGTTTCAGTTCTGTGACTAGTTTTGTTACCTTCTCAAACATCAAATTTCTTATCTATTAAATGGCGAAATTATCTGCTCCGTGTACTTTACAGATTTGTTTTGAGAATCAAATGAAATAATATTTATGAAAGTATTTTTAAACTTCAGAGCACTCTGCAAGTATTTATACTATAAATGTTAGTGTTAACACTGTAAATGCATTAGTTGAGTGTTAATATAAACATTTTCACCCCTAATCTTACCATCAATATACAGGCCTCTGGACTGAAGCCTCAAGAGGAAAGACACGATCAGAAAACAAAGAAAGTTAAGATGGAATAAGGAGATCTCTATCTCAAAAAGTGTTCTTAGAAGTTTATAAAAACCTGTGACACGGGAGTCCAAGCGCCCTTTATAGGAGGTTTGACTCCACATCACATACCACAGATGAGCAGCAGGCTGAGCTACAGCCGGCTAACCTTTGAGAGTTAGCTCTGACTTTTGGTTTGATGTGGACTACCAAGAAGCTAAGGGATAAGCTAGAATCTGGCAAGGCTTCCAAGGTAATACACCAAGCAAAACAAAAGCAGCTGCTTAAGAATTCACTCAGGTTCAAGTTTCTTACTTCTTCAAAGACAGGCCTGAATATCATTAAATCCAAGAGAAAACCCTTCACAGCACAGTTTAATACAACACTCATACTAATGAGTTTTTCAAAACAATTTGATAGTATCAAGAAAAATAAGATACCTATCCTTTACTTAAGGTGAGAATATGGAAGGAACCACACAAACTTGATCACACAAGGCTACAATTAGCAGCAGGAACTTGTTTAGATATATGGACTTCTATGATACCAAGACTTTAAAAACAGTACTCTTTTGTGCTGCCAATTTCTGCTTTATTTTTTACCTCCTGTTCTATTAATGCACCGTGTACTTACATCTGGAATAAATCCAATCTCATTGAGATGATTGCTCAGCTCTGGATCATGGAATGCAATCATCTGAGAGAACACAGTCAGGTACTCTGAAATGATAACAAAGTTTAAGACAATCATCGTTTTTACACAGTATTTAAAATAAAGACATTAAATTCATCTAAATTACAGTTTTATTTATATTTTGAATGAAATTTAATTTCTCCATAAAGAAAATATACTTTAATAATTTTCTGTTTTGTTACCACTTTAATCACTTACTGATATTAAACAAACATACCAAAAAGCTACGCTACAACTTATTTTCTACCTTCAGAGCTATCAGTTCATTTCTTGAATTGCAAATTACACACCTGATGAATGATGTTTTCCTATTAAATTCAACAAACACATTTTCTCTAGCAATATTAAATGTCTCGCATTTATTGTATGTTCAGAAAGTGTAACAGATATTTAAATAGGGAACAACACTTTATAAGTAGTCACAAATAGAATAATTATGCCTCAAATTTGTTTATATACACAGATGTACGCATTTGTTCCAGTTCTATTTATTTCCATCTAAGACTGCATGTAGCACATTTAGGAATAACATCTGAAATTTATATAATGTTATAAACCAATATTACCTCAGTTAAAAAAAAAAGAAAATAGGTACACAGTAGGTAATTAAACATATCTGCTGTTGACTCTACTCCTAATTCAGAAGGTTCAGGTGGAATATGATGAATATTTCCTTATTTTTTCCATTGTTTCAACAAATTACTATTCTTGCCCATTTACTCACCATGTACTAATCTAAACAAGATACTGGCAACAGTCGACTCAAGGGGAAGTAACTATCATACTTTTACTCATTAGAAACAGAAATTAACACATATTTCAAAGAGCTCAACTTCTTTTCTTCTTGAGATTGAAATGACAATAACTCAATGAAAGTTTTCCCTTTAATTAATAACCTCAACTCTTTCCTTCAATAAAGTAGATCTATTTTTCAAACCAACTATTTGGTGAAAATAATCTCTAAAAATAATGTCTGCCTTTCTTTTCTAGTTTTTAAAGTTCTTTATTTTTAACATTTCAAGAAATGGTACTAAATCCTTTACAACCTGTTAGTATAAGTAGCCTTCCTCCATTTTCCTCAGTTAAAACTTTGCTTCTAATGACCACAATGTATTTTACAGTTGTTTGCCTATAAGCAGTATTATATATTTTACAAAGAGAAGCATCAAGGTCAAAAAGAAAAGTGGAGGTAGTACTGTGTTCAAGATACCACGATTAAGCTGAATTCCAGAGCTAATGTGAACTTTACCCATGGGTGCTAGATAAAGAATGGGTATTTGATTAATACTTTTTCTTGATTTGATGTTTATTCTACTGTATCAGAATTCATTCTATCTATCCACTGTCTCATCTTTGCCTCTAAGAATGAGAAAGTTACAATTCACAGCAGCTTCAAGAGTCACAGACTAAAGTGGTGACCCAGGACAGACCCCAAGGCCCCAGGGCACTTCTAGACTTGATTTTTCTTTAATTTTTTTTTTCTACTTCTAATTAGTAGCGGTATGTTTATAGTCCTAATCTACCCAGGAGCTAGAGGTATGCAACATCAACAGTCATATGCATTCAAGTGTATGTTGATAAAAGCATATAGTTATTAACTTTTAAAAAGCATGCTTCATTTTAAACCAGAAAATCATGCTTCAGGTAATCCTCCACAGCTATGCTCCAGTTTATTAAATATTGTTCTTATTTAAGCCTGACAAAAGATAATTACTATGTGGGATTACATGGTTAATTAAGGATCTACTGAAGAAACCTAACCTGTCATGAAAATATTTTCCTTGTGTTCTGCCAAACATTCATGGCTAGATTTATATGACATACGATATGTGTTATAATTGCATATATATATAAAATCTGTGCAAATACATATAGATGTATATGTATAAAATACACATATATATGTATAAAATACACACAAATAAATATACCTATACATTTATATATTATTATATGCTATATATTATTTCCTATATGCAAATATAAGTTATAAGGCTGGCATAAATTTTGGTTGCTCAGGACAGGCTTTGGAATGAGATATACTACGGCTTGTTATATTCAGAAAAATTTCTATAAAGGAGGGATATGACAGAACTGGATGAAATCAGCACTATGTCATATTTTAAGTTATTTCAAAAATTCACTTAGAAGTTCCCTAGAGTAAATTAAAAAAACCCTGAAATGCATATGTCCTTTGATTTGTAAACCAACTTGAGAGAATTTAAGGGTAGCTACAGAAAAGCAGACCAGTAGTCCAAATAAAACAAAGGATTCCATGGATATTACTGCTGACTCTTTTAAAATGTTCATGAAACACTCTAATTGGGATTTATAATAATGAAGATATGCATCTACAGACATAAAATAACCCCCCAAATAGTATTTTGTAACTAATGGGTCACCCATGTAACGGTAAATGCTATTCTTCGTCAAAAAAAAATGAAGGTATTTATGAAATTTCCCCTTAAACTTCAAGTGAAGTTTAATGTTGCACTACTGCACAAAATCATGTCTAATATAAATTTTCTGTGTTTTAATGAAACTTAATACCTTTTTATTTTTTGCAGTCAGATATAAAGTGAAAATAAATTCTTTTTCCCTTCTAATCCCTCCCCATATTAAAAATTCTTATTCCTTTCCTTTAAAATGGCTTCTTGTTACATACTTTAAAATGACAATCCACGAAGAATTCAGTGTAAAGATATTATATGATACTATCACATTTTTGAGCAGCTATTTATAAACTGTTTGTTTTCAAAAGAATTTTCATCAAATAGATATACAGATGCAATTTCAAAAAGTCCCACACATGAGTATCCTTATTTTTTCCTTTTTGACCAGTCTTTCTGCTTTCATTCTCTTAGCTAGGGTAAGAAGTTGAAGGATGATGGGCAACAGATTTAAAGCAAAAGGTTTCCTCTGCTCACAAATCAAAGATGGCATTCTCAGTTCTATAACTATTTGTTATTTTCCATTAGGCTGTTAGTTTATGCTGAAGATGATTAAGTATAGATAAATATGCAGAGACATTAATCTCTTATCAACTAAAATGTGCCCAAGCTACAGCATTTGGTGATATTTTGACTCATAGCACTCAAAAGAAGTCAAAGTTATTTTACTGTGTGAAAATTAATAAACAGAAACTTCATTATAATGGAGTTGGGAGGCCAAAAGAGGGAGCTCTCACGCCCTACGCTGATAGCTGAGCCCAACAGCAGGAAGAAAGACTTCCTCTTGACGGCAAGAAGCTCAGCCAGTGAGAGACTGTCACAACTCAGCAGGGGAGTTTGAACACTCTGAACTCTTTGTTCACAAGAGCCCTCCCAACCTCCTCTTTCCCTCCATGAAAGAGTTTCTCCTCCCCTTGCCGCTGGGGACTTGTGCGTGGCTTGCCACGGTTGCAGACCCCAAACTGCAATTCTTTGCTGATCCTGAATAAACCCGTTTTTGCTGGAGAAATAACTGGCTGTCTATTTGTTTAAGGTCAACAGCTGCAAATGCATCCAATTAGATTATTTCCTATTACAAAGTTTGCCAGCTGTAAAATCTGGCTTACTGTCTGAAGTCACAAGAACAAGCATCAACCTTTATGTCTAAACGGGAAGAAGGGAGTTCAAAAGACAAAAAAAAAAAAGAGAAAGGTAATTTTTAGGACTACATTGGTGAGCCATTTTCTTTTTTGCTCACACACCCTGCTCTGATAAAAAAATCTATGAGTAAACTCACTCCATGCCTCAGGGCAGTGCTCGTAATATTTCTAGTAAAGGTAGAAAATTTCTGTCTCAGGAAAAATATCCTTAGCCACATGATGCAAGAACATTCTTGAAAATGGCAAGGCTGTATGCTCAATGTATTTCCTACTCTCTCCCAATATCCTACCATCAAGTCATCCATGACAAAGATGTGCATTAAACTGGAAATATGCAATGCACTGTTTTTCCAAATATATAAACCCTTATAGTGAAGTTGCACATTCTCTCTCCCTGTCACTGTTTGATGAGAAAGATTTATATTATACTCCCATTTTGACAACTGGACTTCAGACTTTGATGTCTGTCTTCCTTCCTCCCTCCCCCTCAAAGACTTATTGAATGTCTATGTATAGTATGACCACATATTTACTTTATCCGAGAGCCCAGCTGCACCTGCAGACTCAAGTGTCTGGTGCAGTTAATGCTCCTTTTAACTCTCAAAAATATCACAGTTTAGTTATATAGTCATCCTAGTTACATGTGGCACTACATTAAATGCTAGGGATGCAGTAAAGAAGATACCACTCTTGCTCTCAAAGGATTTAGAAACATATAGAGGTAAACAGAAAACTGGGGAAAATTTTTACCCAATTTCATTTCCCAGGTTTATATGGTACTTCCCTCTATCTTTCCCTTTCTGACCTGTAGGATCCACATCTTCAATGGTCCAAGTATGGACTTGCCTTGGTTTTACAAACAGTACAAGAATATGTTAATGTTGTGGCAAAATTCCAATAGCTGTTTTAGTGAACAATCCACAGCAGAATGACATCAAAGAACAGTTTAAGTTTTATAGGCCAGTTTTCTGGGCCGCTCCTTTCTCAAGCACAAAATGACACTAAGGTATAGTTGGGTTTTCCACGAAGGATTAGTTCCCATTCTTAATAACTAAATGGCTGCTTCTCTTCACTGGCCAGAAGCTGCCTTTTTTCTCTTCAACAGCCTAAAGTACATCTGTCCTGCAAGTTATAAGCCTGTTTTGCAATATCTCTGAAACTCTAATCAATTTGTTCCTTGGAAGTCCCTCCATCTTTTTCAATCCAGCTGGTATTCTAAGCCTCTGAATCTCAGAGTAATCATAGTAATCTTAGATCTTCTGAGGGCCAACCCTGAGCTGTTAGTCAGTATATTACCTTTCTAAGATCCTATGTGTTGGTACTTTATCAACTCACTAGTAATGTTGCTGGGAATAATTTGATAGTGCCAAAAATGATAACGAATATTCATTTAGGCCAAAAGTAATTAAATTTATCTTCTTAAAAATGTCTGCAGGTAATAAGTTAATAGGACCATGGTTAAAAAAACAAACACAACTGGATATCTTGACTAAACAGATATTTTTTTTCTCTTCTGTAAAAGCCAAAATATTTTAGAGTCTTATGAGTATGTGAATGCCGTATTTTATAAAAAATTTTAAAATAAAAAATATTAAAGTTCTGTTAGTGTATAATTATAAAAAATATTTTTTTCAAAGAACATTTAAAATTGCTATTGAATACAGAAACATTTGGTTTCTGTAGAGAAAATTAAACAACTAAATGAGTGTGCAATTCTACAATTAGCTGTTGAAATGATTGGTTTCATATGACATAGGATTTTTCCAAAATTTGTGGGGGAAAAAGTGTTCATGTGATATTTATGCCAATCAAAACCAATGTTACTTTGAAGTCTAAAGCCTAAAACACCTTAAAACAAAGGGGGAGAGAGGATGAACAAAGAGGGAAACCAATACAATGGGAGCTCACTATTGCTAATTCCAAGCCCACAGCAAACTTTCTGAAGAAAAGTAAACCACTGTTCTTCCATAAACTGTAGCAACCAATGATCAGTGTACTGTCCCAGCTCCTTCTTTAGCTCTCCATCCCTCTCTTCCTGACTCCATGTACCAGGTTTGATGACTGGCTGTTTGATCAGCCCATTGTGTACTTGTCTGACTGCAGTCCTCTTTCTTAAGAATGTCTTTCCATTTTTTCACTAAGAAAATTCCTAATCAAATTTCAAGTTCATCAATAAGTGTCCCCTCTTTTATAAAACCTTTCTAGAAATCCCATCTGTTCCCTTTGCCACCAAAAACAAAAAAAAAAATCAAAAAATCAAAATAACCTCCCCCACTTTTTCTGTGCTAATTCAGTAATATGTACACTTATTTCATTGACTTATAATTAGTTATTTTCATATTTATTTCCTATACTGGGCTATAAAATTCCTTGGAAAAGGACTGAATGTTATTTACCTTAAGAACCTCAATTCCTTAAGCAGTACTTGGCACAGAGTCAGTGAAGGGCATTACTTATAGAAGGACTAAATTAATTGAAACTGCTTTTTTTTCTTATAAAACATATATGGTCAATATAAAAATTGAACAAATAATTTAAAGCACCTTGTCTGTTGTTTCTTGAGAAAATATCCATGCTACATTTTTCCAATTGAATTATCAAGATTTCAAACACAAATTTATAGAAATTATAACAGAGAAAATTATTAATACTTAGACAAATAAACCGTAAATAATTGTGGAGAGGTCTTTTAATTATAATATTGAATGTTAAAATATATTACTGATTTATCAATCAAACTAAGTAAGAGTCTTTTTGGCTTTTCTGACTTTTGGCTTTTCTGTCTCTCCAAATTCATGTTGTGTATACTATGGTTTCTCTTGTATTTTCATAAAAGAAACAAGACTTCGTCTTGTTTATTTGTATAACAAGCCTTTAAAAAGTGTATCAGAGAAGTTGGTAGTTAAAAGCATGAAAAATCATCTTTTTCAAATTGGAAATTCATTATCAATATATATCATATCATACACATCCATCTGTGATATGAAACAATTACTGGAAAACTGAAACTTTTTAGAGGTAAACCATTTCTGTATTTTGAAATAGAAATCTATAGAGAACCAAAATAGAAATCAATGTAACAGAAGCTATCTAATATGGCCCTTTAACAGATGGCTATCTAGCCAGGCATCATCCAGCCATCTAATAAACACTATAACCAATTCCTTTTATAAGTCCTGTTTTAATTGCTTTTTTGAGGATTCTCCAAATATCTTCATTTTTCTTGAAGTATAGGAATCTAGCGGAGCACTAAGCTTCAATAGAGGCCTGATAAATTTGGAAGAAGATGATTTCCAAGCTTTTATATATAAACGTTCAGTTAATATTAAGGGTTCATGTCAGCTTTAGAAATAACCGCATTATTGCTGACTTACATGTAACTGAAGATTAAGGAGTCACCTTTTGTGTTGCACGTACACTAACCTGATTATTTTCTACTTTTGATCTTTTCAGCTTGTCTTTGGTCAAGCTGAATATTATTTGCATTGCACAGCCTCTGAAATCTCCTGGTATCATCCAAGGTGTTTTTAAATCCACTCATTTTGGTACTGCTGGAATCTTAGAGTACACTGTCACTTCTATAATACACTGATAAGGATAATAAGGAAACTATGCATAAGTATGCAATACATCCCTATTAATAATACAAGATATACTCTTATAGGACATCACTTCATAAATTCTTAGAAGATGACATTACAAAACTCTTTAAGTCAGATGGCTTTACTAAATTAACCTACAAGCAAAAAGCAACCTCCTTCCTATAAAACATACTTGTCCTTGATTATAAAAAGTCAAAGCAAAAAAGTTGTTGTCCTCAAAAAACATTCTTAATTAATCCCAACTTTAGTCCACATTCTAGGAATGTGCAGAGAATTGGGCATATCTATTTCAAATCAAATCATTTCAAAATACAAATATAAATTAATAGAATTTATATTTCAAAACTAACATAGAGACATTGGACCATTATTTAAATTTCTAGCACTTATCTGTGTTGTAGACACATAGAGCTGTGAATGATCACACGTCTTGATGTGTTTGTAAACACAAACACAAAATTTAAAAAAGTTTTAATATTTTTCTCTACACGCCAACGTAAATGATGCTGTCAAAAATAAATGTTTTTATGTGCTGAGCTACTTATTCACATTTTCTTTCTCTTTTTATTTTCAGCTTCCTTATCTTTTTAATTTACACTTCCCTTTCCATTTCCTTTCTAATTATTTTCTCATTATATTGACCTCTGATACTCTAGTTTTCTACTCATTTCCAACTAAGTAAAAATATTGCTAATTGAGACCCCACTTACTCAGAATTTTTGATAAATCAGACATAGTCTGTAGTTTTCCTGCTTCATCTATTCAAATTGAGAGAATTATATCAAACTATAATGACATAAATATAAATAAAACACATTATCAGCTTTAAGTTGTTTAAAGTTTAGTAGAATTAATAAGACTTATGTATAAATAAAAAGTCTAAATGAAGGAAGTATCTGATAAGTTTCATAAAAATAGTAAATGGGGAGACTGTGTGACCTGCTTTGTAGTCTGTTCCAAAAGAAATACAGAACTATAAGAAAATTTCCTGTCCTTAAAAGACTAAAATCCTGTTGAAAAGATAAGACATAAAGAAATATGTAATACCATGATGATAATTATACTACCAAAAAAACTGCAATAATGATACTAATTAAATAGCAATAATAGTGACAATAACAATAAAATATTAACAATTATTGTTATTGAATTGAATGTTTCTAAATGCTGGTATTTACATATTTTATTATGTTTAACCTTTACAACAATCTTTATTTTAGATATGAAGAAAATTACAACCAGCAAACTTAACGTATTTGTCTAAGATTCACAATAGGTAATGAAGCTTAAATTTGAAACAAAGTTTGTTTGATTCAAAGTGTTTATTATGAACTTCTGTTATACTGCTTTCAAAAAAGATTTCAGAAAAGTTTGAATGTGGCTGAGTAGTCCCAAAAGAATTCACAGATGGGTTGTGCTATGTCTTGGACTCTGAAGGAGGGGTATATTTTAGGAAAACAGGAGAAAGAGGGAGGATATTTGGGGTTCAAGCATGGGGAATGAGATGAAGGAGAAGTGTTTTTTTTTTTTTTCGTGAGGAAGATCAGCCCTGAGCTAACATCCGTGCCAATCCTCCTCTTTTTGCTGAGGAGGACTGGCCCTGAGCTAACATTCCCCCACTTTATGGGGGATGCCACCACAGCACGGCCTGACAAGCGGTGCGTCAGTGCATGCCCGGGATCTGAACCCGGGCCGCCAACAGTGGAGTGTGTGCACTTAACCGTTACGCTACAGGGTCAGCCCCAGGAGAAGCGTTTTTTTTTTTGTGAGGAGATCAGCCATGTGCTAACATCTGCCAATCCTCCATTTTTTTTTTTTTTGCTGAGGAAGACTGGCCCTGGGCTAACATCCGTGCCCATCTTCCTCCACTTTATATGGGATGCCGCCACAGCATGGCTTGCCAAGCAGTGCATCGGTGCGTGCCCAGGATCCGAACCGGGGAACCCCGGGTTGCCACAGCGGAGTGCACGCACTTAACAGCTTGCGCCACTGGGCTGGCCCCACAAGTGTTTTTAATATCTATTTACTTACACAATTAAAACTGTTTAACCTTTTTTACTAATTCACAATAGGCTTGCTCCATGGTGAAGCTTTTTGTGGACAATTTTAATTGTGAGAGAGACAAACAGCTGGACTTTTATTTTCTTAAATTAGTATGCCTGAATTTGAACTGAACTGAGATTAGATATTAAATTCTTTGTGGACCTGGAGGAAAGACTAAACTTAATGATCTCTTCATGGGTTTTAGTGATGGATTATCAGCATATCTGACTGGGTCAAAATCATAAATTTAATTGAGTAACAAGTATTTGCCCTGTAAAGAGATAAGAAGGGACATTTGCTTACCTTGTATTACATGTGAGTTGTCTTTCAAGAAGAAGTTATACAGGTATTTGGGGATAAAAGCAGACATACACGCATAAGCCAAGGCTAAGAAAGAATAAGGGAAAGGCATAAACAAATTAGTTAACGGGTAAGTGATCAGCAGTCACTCACTCAGTACACGTTCCTTGAATCTATTAAACAAGATTTATGTTAATAATTAATGGAAACACAAAATTAAGGGGAAAAAATCCCTCTACTCTTTAAAATAGAAAATATTTTGGACAACAAAAGATAACCACCCTAACAACTTTTCAATTTCAAACTCATGTGGCAATCATTATCCCACAATAACAAAAATCTTTATTACTGGAACTTCATACACTTTTTTAATCTCTAAACATGATCATCATTAATGAGCTATACAAACCTCAAGATCCTTAATTTTTGTTGATGCAAACAAAAGAGGCTGAGAACTTTGGATTTAAGACACACTAGTCATAAACTGTTCTTTCAAACACTGATCTCTTACTATTCTTGGATCAATATGTGTGATAATGGACGATGCCTAACTAAACACAGGAAAACCTCTAGCCTAGATTAATGAGTAATGATATCAGAGAACAGTACATCTTAAAAACTATTCAAATAAAGAAATTTTAGTTCTCTGGTTTATGCTATCTCTATTCAATTCCAGAAATCTATGCAAATTCTGACAAAAAATAGAATGTGACAAGATGGAGACTCTGAGATTGGGCTTCTAGAGATTCATGCTACATATGGTAACACTCTCTACATGCAATATCACTCTGGATTTTAGTCAACTAAGTTTAACAGATATTTATTGAAAAACCTACTATAAAAAAGGCATTATTGGGGCCAGCCCGGTGACGTAGCAGTTAAGTTCATGCGCTCCGCTCTGGCGGCCCAGGGTTCGCAGGTTCGGATCCCTGGCGCGGACCAACGCACCTCTTGTCAAGCCATGCTGTGGTGGTGTCCCATATAAAGTAGAGGAGGATGGGCAGGGATGTTAGCCCAGTGCCAATCTTCCTCAGCAAAAGGAGGAGGATTGGCATCAGATGTTAGCTCAGGGCTAATCTTCCTCACACACATTCAAAAAAGGCATTATAACAGGGGCACAGAAAACAAAAAAATCTGTCATTAAAAAAAGCTGCTAATGGGGCCTGGGCTGGTGGCGTAGTGGTTAAGTTTGCACACTCCGTTTCGGTGGCCTGGGGTTTACAGGTTCCGATCCCAGGCGCGGACTGATGCACCACTTATCAAGCCATGCTGTGGTGGCGTCCCATATACAAAAATAGAGGAAGATGGGCATGGATGTCAGCCCAGGGCCAATCTTCCTCAGCAAAAAAGAGGAGGATTGGCAACAGATGTTAGCTCAGAGCTAATCTTCCTCACACACTCACACACACACACACACACACACACACACACACAAAAGCTGCTAACCAGTAAAATGGGTTATGTATTAGTATATAAATAACTATAATACAAAACATACACAAGATAAATTTCCAGAAGTACCAACTGCTGTACGGGCTCAGGAAGGAGGATAAGAAAAGTCTTCATTAAGGAGGTAGAGGTTGAAATGATAGGCTTTGAAGATGCAAGAAAATACTGATTTCTTTACAAATTGTTTGGAAAGTATACACAGACTAAAACTAACCTCTAAAGAAGTTAGAATTTTCTCCAAAGTTTCATAAAAATGGTCACCAAAGTAGACTAAAGCATTTAGAATAATCAGTTTCTCCCTGAATCTCTAGTTGCTGCCTGGTCACAAGAAAAACTCTCCAGGAATAATTAATCCTTCACATCCTCTAAAATGAGTCTAACACTTTATTTCACAGAAATTTACAGCATCTACTAGGAAGAGAGCAAGAACCTCACTACGAAAATGAAAACCTTTTACGTTTGAATAAAATATTTTAGAATAATATGCACAATGATTATTTAAATGATAAATAGGCTTACCTTCATTATTGAAATTTAAATATAGGAATGGAGCACAAAGTGAGTCAAGACCTGATGGGGAGGGGTTGGGGAAAGAAATCAAATAAACATAATCCAGTAGAATTGCAGACATATGTAGACATATACTTTATATACCTTATTCTTATATGCGTTACTTCCATACAGATGAAGTGTTAAAAGGATTACCCATCCAGAAATAAATTACCCCATGGTTATCGTGAGGAGTAACTGATGGTGACTGGCACACAGTAAATACAAATCAGCTATTATGATTATCAATATTATTATGAGCTGAAGAGAGAAATATAGTGATAGGAAAATGTAAAAATGATAGAAGGCCTGGGATACGGTCCCATCGCGGACCCTAACTGTGTGATCTTGGCAATCACTTAGTGTCTCCAGGCACGTTTCCTCGTCGAGGAGATGGAGACTTGTCTTACACATTTCTCCGGGACAACGAAAAAAAAATCTTTTAAACATTGTTGGGTAAAATACAAATACATGACATATTTCTTTTATTGATAATAATGCTATTCATATGTTGCCATGTTGAAAGAATGTACATAAACATACCTATAACTGCTAGTGAGACACAGAACTCCAAAAAGGATAGAGTTAGGAAAAATAATAGCTTCATTTTAAGTTTGGCCAGAAACAGAATTGAAATGTAAAAACTACTGTTCATAACAACAAACTCAAAAATAGGACTAGGTGGAATGGGTTTCTCACTCACGAATTTATCAATGACACAAAAATAACTATGAGAAAACCTAAAAATCAAGGATGTGGGGCATTAAAGATATTAAAAAAAAGGGAAATAAATAAATAAAAATGGGTAGTTTAAGGTGATATCCTATTCCCCAATTCCTAATAACCATGATAAGCATAAGTTGTGAATCACTAAATGTCAAGAATATCAACTAGCCCCAAATTATTTATGGTAAAAAGTTATTTTATTATTTGCATAAGCACTGAAAAAATGTACCCACAAATATTACACAAGTACAAAATATTCTTTCTACTTTCCTAACAACATGATGGCAAGTTGTCTCATTGAATATCATGTATTTAAATGATATCTACTAGGCATTTAGACAAAGTTAAAAAAAAAAGTTCTCACATAAACCTCTCAAAAAAATAGATCACAGCTTTAGTACTGACTTTTTTCAAAGCTAAGGATATTTTAATTTTTAAAATTGTCATTTATGCAACACACTCCTAATACTTCAAAAAGAGTCTTAATAATTGGGAAAAAAAGTCACCTTGCCAATACACAAGATCAGGATGGGACACTACCCAGGCTTTTAGTACACGCCTAAATTTTGCATGACCTTCTGGTGATGATAACAGTTCATCATACTGATGACAACGAGGAATATCCACTTCAATCTGTAAAATAGCAAAACAATATAATGGAAATGTAATAATGTGATTTCCAGTAAACCCCAAAATCAGGAAAAGGAGAGACTGATTATGAATTTCAGAATAGGCCACCTACATAATCCTGGTGTCTGAAGTTTTTGAATTTTATACGAATCCTCTGAAAACACCAAAAAAGTTGTATGTATACTTAACCAGGGAAAACAGACCATTTCCTTTGAAAAGGTATGTATTAACATAGATTTCAAAAAACCTCTCTTAACAACCTGGTCTAAATAAAAGGCAAATTCTTTAGATAAAAAAGTGCAATTAGGAAAAGTTACTTGGCCTATACTCTTTTAAGGAACAGTTCTAGCTCACTAACTCATGAGTATAAGAGTTATGCTTACTCTAATACCATATGCATATGACGGCTGCTGAGTATTCATAATGAAAGGAAGAAAATTCCTCATGCCCTTCTAAAATTTAAAGATTTGGCAGAATTGTCTTAGTTTGTTTAATAAAATGTAAATCATACTTGTCTATCTGTAGGAATTGGAGTATCTTTATCAATTGAGTCGTACTTGGCATGAATAGCCCCCTGCAAAAAAATAGAAGATATATTAATTCATCGTATCCTTAATACATTATTAATTTAGGCAAAATCTACTTCTTATAAACATCTACCTTTGAAGACACACCCAATTAGAGATAGGCACATTCAAACCCAAAGTATACCTCTTAAGAAAAACTCTCTACATCTTTGACGTTGTGTGATGAGTCTGTGACCATCTGCTATTTTGCTAAGGCAGACATTTGAATTATACAAACCAGAAGACAAATGTGTTGAATGAGTCACTTAGCTAACAAGTATGCTTATCCCAGCCTCCATGACACAACTCAGCCTTGTTCTCTATCTACTGCTATCTCATACATAGTAAGTTTCATGAAGAAATTTTTAAGAATTGTGTGTGTTGGGGGTTATCCCACAAGAAATTTCCCTGTTAAAGTTGGTAATGAAATAAAAAATAAAATAAAACTGCTTAAAGGAGTGGTAGTTCAGCACCAGGAGGCAGAAATTTGGGATAAATTAAAGAGTGAAATGTCATGTAGTTATTATGGAATCATTAAGGTACTAAAGGGATCATTTACATTTTTCAATTACACCATTACAGAAGGAATAATTGAACAAACCATTTCAAATTTTGGTCATGTTCTATAGGACCAAGCAGGGAACAATTCTTATTACTCTGGTTTACAGTAATGGTAGAGAAAGAGCCAGGAATTTGGGGTTCAAACTCTGATGTTACATGCTGTATCAACTTCTCTGGCACAACTACTTAATGAGAGATTTGGACAACCTGACCTCGGAAGTCCTCTTGAACTTTAGCACCACCTAGTTCTACAATTCTAACTATTAATGTATGGTATGGAACAATAGGCATTCTTGTAAAGCAACCAATCAAACTCAAACACATTTATAGACTCTTATCAGGGGAATCAGGAATGAAGAAACAAATTCTTTCAACTGAGTTAAAAGAATTGAAAATAGTTGGGGGAATTAACACACAAAAAAAATGGGTGATGTATATCCATAAGATATCTATAAGAGAATGTATGAAGCCAGGATGACAGAGAAATTGACAAGAAATGAACATATCTGGCAAGGATTAGGCCCATTATCATGACCGCTGTCACCGAAGTTCTATATTACTACTGCAAGTCACCCTGATAATGTCGTGACACCTCTCCTTTCCTCACTGCCACAGATAAGGTGTTGTAGAAGACAAAGCAGCTATTCCTCTTGGCAGCACGGTTCTGGTAAGACAGAGGTGCCAAGAGGCACTACCTCACGTTAATGATTTTTTTCTTTTTTTGTGAGCAAGATAAGCCCTGAGCTAACATCTGATGCCAGTCCTCCTCTTTTTGCTAAGGAAAATTGGCCCTGGGCTAACATCCGTGCCCATCTTCCTCTACTTTATATGGGACACCGCCACAGCATGGCTTGACAAGCGGTGTGTCAGTGCGCGCTCGGGATCCGAACCTGTGAACCCCGGGCCGCCAAAGCAGAGCGTGCGCACTTAACCGCTGCGCCACCGGACCGGCCCCAAGATCATGTTAATAATTTTTGACAATGTTCAGATCGGAGTAGAAGATCTCTCCAAACTTAGACAGAACTACTTATAAATAGGCAATCCTATTCCTAATGAGCATACTTTATTAGCAGGACTATACACTTGTAACTGATATATATATATATATATATATATATATATATTCTCAAAATATTGATTTTAAAATAAACAATCAAAATAATTTCTGTGAGCCTCATTAAATGAAATATTAAATAGAATAAATCTAACAAACCTTCAATTATATTTTTATATTTTTCTAGCCTATTCTTTTCCTCTATTCCTTTCACTTAAAATTGCCAAAATATCCTTAATGCTTATATTTCACTCGATAATTTTCTTGTTTTTTTTTGCGAGGAAGATCAGCCCTGAGCTAACATCTGCCAATCCTCTTCTTTTTGCTGAGGAAGACTGGCCCTGAGCTAACATCCATGCCCATCTTCCTCCACTTTATGTGGGACGCCGCCACAGAATGGCCTGACAAACGGTGTATCGGTGTGTGCCTGGGATCCAAACACGGGCCGCCAGCAGCGGAGCGTGTGCACTTAACCCCTACGCCACGGGGCCGGCCCCTTTACTAGATAATTTTCTAACAACTTGAAAAATAATATATTCGGAAAACACTTTCCTCCTTCTTCCTTCTTCCTTAGCACTGGTGACCAGCTTCTAACCTACTTTTCTTTCTTACCTCAACTCCCAGAAGAGCAGCCCAGGTTAAACCTCTCATTAGAGGAGGAATGTCAACTCTTGCTTCTTTCCAGATTTGATTTTTTTTATATGGATAAGCCTAGAGATGAGGAAAGATATGAAAATACCTCACATTACCAAGTGCCATCTTTAGTTCTGAATATGCCAGTGATAAAGCTAAGGGTGACCTGCAATAAATTTTTGAGTATCTGAAATTACTTTGTCTGGTGTATTAATACACATTAGGTCAGCAGTGGAACGGTTCCCTATTCCCTGTAAATCCCGTATAATACAATCAAAGAGAGGAGCTGATTCTATGCTTTTAATCATTTCTATTTTGTGCTCTGGGAGAATTATGAAATGAGTCATATGGAAAATAAAATTACCCGCCTCATATGGGTTACATAATGTATGTAAAGCACTTTGTAAAATGTCTGGGATATAGAATATTCAATAAACATAAGTTATTACTATGGCTACTTCTATATTCTTGCATACAAATTTGTCCTTTTATAAATTTTTTACTTTAGGAGAGATTTTTAGAAGAGAATTATTAGGACAAAGAGTATGGATGTTGTTAAAGCTCTTGATATATACTTTCAAATGGCTTTACAGAATGTTTCAATCAATTTACACTTACTCCAAAAGAATGAGAGTTCCATTTCAATACACCTTTGCTCACCTTGCTAATTAGATTGCAAAAAAAACCCTATCTTAATTTTTTTTTCATTCCTAGTGTGGATAAATAATTTGAATAGATTTACTGACTAGTTGTATTTCCATTATGTTCTTTATCCATTTCCCTGTTTCAATAATAGTACTTTTTCTATTGATTTTTAGGTGTTCTTTAAATAGTAAGGATATTCATTTTTTGTCTAATTTTTACTTTTTAATTTTATTTACTATGAACATGTATCATTTTTATAATTAAAGTTAATCAGAAAAGATAGGTCATAAGAATTAATCTTATCATGACATCAAGATTCCCTAAGAATTACCAATGAAATAAAAAATAAGGATTGTACATGGGCTCCTGTAACACTTACACTTTAGAACCCCTACCTTTAGCAGCCTGTCAAAGAGAACGACTCTGTGAAGCTGGTACTCTGTGTCCCTCTCTCGGATGATTAAAGGGAGAGTGGCAGCTGCAGATAACTCATTATTGCTGTTTGAATGAGGTACATTAGATTGGCTATAAATGAGAAACAAAAGCAGAAAAATTGACAAAAGGGATAAAATTTTAAAAAACAAAACACTTTATTTTTGTATTCTATTTAGGAATACTTTTTTTTTTGGCTGAGGAAGATTTGCCCTGAGCTAACATCTGTGCCCATCTTCCTCTCTTTTGTATGTGGGTTGCTGTGTCAGCATGGCTGCAGACGAGGGGTATAGGTCCATGCCTGGGAACTGAACCCGGGCCACTGAAGTGGAGCACACTGAACTTAACCACTAGGCCATGGGGCTGTCCCCGGAAATACTTTTCAAAGAAAATGTACAAGCTTCTTACCAGTATAACAAACAGAAAAGAAAAACAAGTGTAAAAGGAAACTACATATACTTACTCATCTTCAAGTAGTGGGTAAAATGCTTCTCCACCAACATCTTTTAGTCTCTGTGAATTTAAAGAGAAAATATTTTCGATATTTATGATCTGAGACAGAAACACTGATCTGTATTTAAAAGGAAAAATAATGTAAAAATTAAGAATTTATAAAGACACCAAGAAAAGTATAAAACAGAAACTAACATGCATCCCTATCATAAACATGTAAATACACCATGCCTCCAGTGATTAAGTTTAGCTGTGAAACATAAGTTTTTTGTTTTTTGATTTTTTACCTCCAGGTGTCTCTCATAAATGTTAGACATCTATTAAATGATAAGTTCCAAAACACAATTCAGAATTACAAAAATTAACATAAAATTTAATAAATAGATAAAGTATTTTTAAATTATGTGAAGATTATTTAAAAAGGTACTTTTTTATACATATCTGTTAATTTAAAGCTGAGGTCAGATTTATTTTTGCTTTGACATTCATAAAAACTAAGACAAAAGTAAGGTGCTAATAGAAAGGATTCAAAAGAATTTCCACACCATAAACTGAACAGGCATGATTCAAATAGCTGATAAATCAACTGCCAAAATTCAATTCTCCTAAATATTTTTTTTCACAAAGTCATTATAATAAATGTTACTCCAAATAATGACATTGCCAGGATTACAGATATTCTTCAAAAGTGTAAGAAGGCAGGCGGCAGTCAGTAAAATCTTAGACACGTCCTGAGCCAGGTGATTGAAGTTAATGCCACCCGGCCCACTGCTCTGCTCTTCAGGCCATCTCCAATGTGAAGGCAGAGCATCTGTTCCTGTGGGGCTGACACAGAAGCCCACACAGATCTGTGTGCAGCCAGCACTGATCTTCCATTGATTAGAGTCATCGTGCACTCATCCATGTGAGTTATTCCTGGAACTTTCAAAAGCCAAAGAAAAATCTTCTACCCAACACTGAGAATCTGGCAAACACTCGATTTATGCCTGGCTTTTCTCTAATAATAGACGTGCCATGCATTTATCCTATTTTGCCTTTAAACCTTTAGGTATTTCCTGGATTAAAATTCTAAGTAGAAAATAAGATTTTCCCAAATTTTACTGCATTATTAACATACACATTTTTTAAAAGTTTGGGTTTTACTGTCCTAAAAGTCATAAATATTGTAAGTAGCTTTTCTGCTTTTTTTTCTAATTAAACATTTTTCATAATAAGGGCAAAAAAAGGCAAAAATACAGAAAACTATAAAGTAAAAATTATTATTGGGTTTCCATATTATTTTAAAAATCAGCAACATCAACATTTTTTCTTAATAATTATAGAAAAAAAGTATTTTAAATTTCAAAAGTGAAAATGTAATGGAATCGAGCAAGTAAAACCGAAGACTTGTATTCATTTAACTTGTATTTACATAATCTGAATTATATTTAAAGAAACAAATTGAGAATGAAATTGAATCAGTTGAAACCATATATTTCGGATGTAGTTTATGGTTTGCTGCCTTGTATTGCTACTTATTTTATACACATTCTTTCTCTTCAAAGAGATGACAAGTTTAGTGTATCAAGTAGTAATCATTATAAATTTTAATTTTCTGTTCCTGGTATTATGGCAGATAAGAGATTCGAATACCCTCCTACTACATAACATGTAAAATATGAAATGACAGGAAAAGCCTCAAAGTGTAAGAAAAATGCAGTGATGTGAGACACAAAGCTGGCTTAGGGAGAAAGGAGCTGAGCTAGCACTGAAGGACACTGATCACTGCCCTTGGGTGTTAGTGCGCAGTGGGACAAGGGCTGGGCAGCGGATCAACAGGCAGCCAGGCTGGAGGAGACCCTGCTATACCAGGAAAAGAAAGAGCTATGTGTGTGTTAGGGAGGGACCCAACTCCAGCCCCTCTAGTCTTTGACAGGGGGAAGACGAAACTCAGTTCTAGCTCCCTCCAGCCTTCCTGTCTCATCTGAGGCTCTCTAACAGGCTGAGACCTATCACAGGATTACAGAATGCTTCCCTGTCCCTACCAACATCCATGTCAGCAGAACTCCTGGATAACTACAGGGGTCCCAGCTGAAAGCACTGCAGCCTCAAACCCTAGTTAAAACAGAATCTTCAGGAAACCCAAAGACAATAGGGGACATAAGAAAAAGGACATGTGAGGAAATTTTAGCCTCTGACAGAAAAGCTACACAAATAGTAAACAGCTAGATAAACATGACATCTTGCACTAAAGGTCTATTTACCACAGTTTCTTTAATAGATACATCATGCTAAGTTTTCAAGAAGAAATTGTAAGGCATGCTAAAATATGTAAAAGACACTCTGAAGAGACAAAGCAAGCTTCACAACCAGACTCAGATATGGCAGAAATTTGAATATAACTATGAATTAACAGGAATTTAATATAACTATGATTAATATGCTAAGGGCTCTCAGGGAAAAAGTGGACAACGTGCAAGAACAGGTGGGTAATATAAGGAGAGATGAAAATTCTAAGACAGAAACAAAAGATGTAACCTATGTGTAACAGGAATATCAGAAGGAGAAGGAAGAAAGGAACAGAAGAAATACTTGAAGCAATAATGACAGAAATTTTCAAAATTCAACAGAAACCAAATGACAAAGATCTAGGAAGTTCAGAGAACATCAAAGAGGAAAAATACCAAAAAAAATGTATACCTGGGCATATCATATTTATTAAAAGATACCATCAAAAAGTTAAAGTCACAGAGTAGAAGATATATGCACCACATATAGCCAACAAAGACTCCGGATCTGTAATACATTTTTAAAAGCCCTCAAATCAACAAGAAATCACTCAATAGAAAAACTGGCAAAAGATATGAACTAGTAATGTATAGAATAGGTACATAAACTGCTAAAAAATATGAAAAGACTCATATTGCACTATGATCAGGGAATTAAAAACCAGTATTATAGTAAAATACCATTCCACACCTTTTAGAGTAATAATTTTTTAAAAATTTTAAAAATTTTTTAAAAATTTGATAATACCATGTGTTACCAAGTATGTGGAGAAATGAGAACCCTTATCCAATGATGTAAAAAGACAAAGTGATAAAACCACTTCTGTGAATCATCAGACAATATATACTAAAGCTGAAGATGTACAGATCCTATTTCCCAACAACGCCACTCCTGGGCACATACTTGAAAGAAACACTCACATATTTCATGAGATCAGGGAAGAATTCCATGCATACCTGTAAAGCTTTATTTAAAAAAAATGATCTGAAGTAAATTTGCCAAAATACCGTTCTTACATTTCTTAGCTGGCATAATGACAATGTCACAGTGGTATCATCTAATAGTGAGCTTCTATCTCGACCTTGTCCAAAGCTTTCACCATCTTCAAAGAGAAAACTGAAAAGAGATTTAAAAATTATAATTATTTTAATGAGCACACAAAGTCTTACTGTTTCTTCTAGAAAATAGGATTTATTCTAAATCATCAATCCCTTCATCAAAGAAAGAAAGAAATTTTAGACCGAAGGGGTTAATAAAAAAAATGTAACTGCTGGTTAAAATTTCACCAAACAATTCTCATTGTCAGATATGTGTTGAGTTGGTATGAACAGAGTATACAAATATCAAGCATTGTAGGAACACAAGAGCATGAGTTACACTCTTTGTTCACGCAGGTCCACTGCTAACATTACTCTCCTCACACTAAGTAAATGGGCTCCTGAGGAAGTTTATATGAGTGAGAATGATAAAAGGAAGAAGAAAGAAAAATCATAATGATGGTAACTTCTCAGGAGAAAGAATACTGAATCATAGATGTATGAAATTGGTTTAGAATTTGAGAGAATTACTTTTAGAATTTATACATCCTTCAAACCATTTGTTCTTGGTATTTCCATCATCTTATTTCCTGATTTTCTACTTAATTCAATGTGTGAGCAGTATAATTGAAGTTAATATTTAAAAATCAGTTTAAGGGGAGAAAATACTAGAGAAATCAGTGGTCTATCAAATAAGTAACCTAAAAATTTAACATGTGAAAAAAAAAAGATCAGCAGATGATTTGTATACTTACCTAAAATGATCGAATCTAGTGCTAAATCTAAAATTAACATTTTGAAAGCACTGGTAGAAACGCAAGAGATGGAGATTCACACCCTTGTGAGTAAATATGAAGAGCAATGGAACAGTGGCCACTGTGGCCGCTAGGGCTGTATCGTTAGTTAACTTCCAGTCTCATTTATAGGATGGTCTCCAAGATCTTACGCAGTTTTGCAGATTGTTCTCAACAGTGACTTAGCACCATGATGATCGCTAGGACAAGCAATGAGGGCACAGAGTACACTGACATTTACAAATCTAATTGGAGTAGAAAATAGTACTTCATAATAGGCACACTAGTCTAGTTTATTAAAATATTAATAAATTAATATTACTGTTATTTCTGAATATTACTGTTCTTTCTGATCAGTGCATTTTTCATTTATTGCACATAAATTATTGCAAGATGTTCCATATGCTAACTTTACTTCAAATAGATCATAAAGCAAATTACTTATTAAAAATAATAAAAATATTGATGGGAACTCTGCAATTAGAAACTTATCAAGGTATTAACTTCTGGTTGCTTTCATAATCACTTATTTGGAATGTCTACCAAAAAAAAAAAAAACCAAACTAAAAAAAAATGTTAATACTATATTTTTCTCCATTTCCAAGAGAAGTTTTCTTTCCTTACTTGGGGAGTGTGCAGATAGGTGGTTTGGATCGAATGATTTCCTTGTTGACAAGCTCTTTCTCCAAGTCACCTCCAGCTAAACACCAAAGGTAATACACTTCTTCAATAGATCTTTCTGCCAGGTAATCACTGTTTATGTCTATTAATGGAAAATTAAAAAGAAGCGTAGCTATTACACTTTGTTTTTATTAAAAGGCAATGTGCAATAATAGCTGACATTCTGAAAAAGCAAAAACTGAAGAACTTAGTAAGATTCCCTTTAGAATATTTGTATTATAAAGTGCACAGAAGATGAAATGCAGATACACATACTGGACGTACAGTTTCTTTCAGAAAAAGTGGAATTTCTACCCTGGTACATCAGAGATATAGGGGATATATATATTCCACGTATTATCAGATATATTGGGCTCTGTGGGAAAGGAATACGGGCAGACAACTACTTGAGTAGGCAACCAGCACAAACTGTCCCATCCTTCATGTCTTGAGGCAACTGCTGCCTCTTCTGAGAAGTCTTTCCTGATGTCTCAGGCAGGTTATGTTTCCACTGTGTGATGTTCATATTGGCCTTCATTCATAATAGTAATTGTGTGACTGAATGTCTGTCTGCCTCCACACGTGGCATGTCACCTGAAGATACAGTGTGTGGAACATAGTAGGACGTCAAGAAATACCCGATTGAATGAATGTTTAGTAAATATTTCCTGCATGACTTATGTCGTGATAACCTTTCAGTATAAGAGTAACTCCCTGGTGTCACTAAAACACACACTCTGAGAGTCGTAATCTTCACAGAAGAATGGAAAGAGAAAAGCTGATATTCTCTTACAAACACGGAATATAACGGTATGGACTTCCTATCGATGATATGATTTTTAGAGATCATGTATAATAAATTATATAGAATATGATATATAAATGTTGATATACTGGAAATTACATTGGGAAGCAGAAGACATGATTTCAGCATTAAGATTTGAGATGAAAACAGGACTTCGGTTTGCATAATAAATTTTTTTTTTGGTGCCACTTCCTCTCTTGAATTCTTATTAGTTCTTGCTCCAAAGTAATTTAAATTTAAAGGATTAAAATGTTAGCTTAGTTATATTTTAAGCATGTCTAGAATTATCTCTCAATTCCCAGATAAGTATCCATAAAGTATCACTAATGTAACATATATATTGTTGATAAATTCAAAACTGAAACTAGGATAAGGGTATTTCCTTTAAAAACAGGGGTTATATTATTGCCTATGTCTTATTTATCATTACCTTGACACAGCTGACTGATATCCTCAGGCAGAGTTAAATCAGCGCATCTCAGAGAAGATGAAAACAGACTGGCAGATTTGGTAAAGGGGGTGTATAAAGGAGACACTTCACTGAACACCTTGTCCTGCATTAATTCATCTGGGGTTGGCCTTGAGAAACACATGGGAAATACAGAGCATAAATGAAAGTCTTTCATGGCACACATTCAAGGGGATAGTTAAAAGTCTTAAATATCTCATTAGCACAGCAAATAATACAGCTCTCTTTAGCCGAGTCTAGATGTGTACCTTTATATAAAAATCAAGTGACTGTAAGTAAATGCTGAATTTTTTTACCTTTGTTGTGCTTTTTGCTCCTTATGATCTATCAAAGATGATTATATACGAGTGTCTCTATCTTTGACTTTGAGCTTGACAACCACGTACCTGCTTTACTGAATATCTTTATTAAATACTAACTAATAATTCCTTTTGGTTTTCTTCCTACGATCTTAGTTTAATGTGGCATATTTACCCAAAACTATGCTTTTAATATTCCATTCCACTCTTCCTAACATGTCTTGATAAAGATGTTTTTCTAAAGACAAATTAGAATACATTATTGTCAAATATTATACACTTAAGGAGTTAGGGATAACTGTACGGCTAACAGTGACATCATCAAATGAAAATAAATAGTAAAACTTCTAAAAAATCCTTTTATATTATCAACATTTGTTAGCTTACCTCACCATTTATCCAAGTTCTTTGCTATAACACATATTGCCAATAGCCTCTTGTTCTCATTTCTCTTACATCATTTGTGTCTAGGAATATCTACATTCCACAATTTAACTGATTTTCTAATTAGAGACTAGGAAATGAACTAGTAACTTCTTTTGGAATATGCCAGTTTTAATTATTTTTTTCTTCTGTTATTAACATACATTAAAACCATAACTAACAATTATAATACTGATGTCAATTATGTATTACTATATATGTAAATATTCTTATTTAATCCATTAGTATTAAAACTTATAAGAAAAAAAAAATCAACTACTTGTATGTTAAAGATCTCAGTGTAATCCCAAACTCTTAAAAATATCAACCTTTTGGAAGGGTGGAAGGTGAGGCACTTCTTCAAAAGATCTATCACATTTTCAGGAAGCTCCTGGTAAATAAAGAGAGGAAAGAATTATTTAAAATGATCCATTTAAAAAATATATTTTACTCAAACGTTTGCTACTCCAGGATGTTTTGATTTCTTTAAAAAGCCTTTATTTGGACTTTATACAAATTTATATTAGTTTGTCACTCTGTGAAAAAGCAAATATCTAAAGAGAAATAAACACAGCTTTAAAATAGCTTGCTATGGGATCCCAAGCATGAAAAATAAACAAATTTTCAATAACAGATTAATGACAAACCTTTACAATGTCCAGACAACCATGCTCTTCAGCCAGAACTATTATAGTGTCATCTACACAGTCTATAAAACAGAAAAACTGTATGAATTAATGCTGCTTTTCTAATCTATCAGACTAACTAGGAACTGAACTCTGATAAATTATTTTTAAAATTGTGTAATGCTGTTTTGGAATTTGGAATATTAGGAAGCTGTGACTTTGTTAACCTTCCTTACATGTTTTGATAAAAATAAAGACTTCAAACACTAAACATTAATTGAATCCTATATACTGAAAGACAGCAGCTTAGTGAGATAAAGCATGACTCAGGGAGGTAAAGACTCTCTCTCTCTCTCTGTAACATATACACACACATTACTCTTTAAAAAGACTTTACTATTTTTTCATGATTCTAAGACTAATTTATTTTTATTATGTACAATTTGGAGAATGTACACACATTTCTCTGGGGATTTAAAGTATATGTGTAGTCTGAGACCACATTTAGAAATCTCCAAGACTGCTTAATAGCTATATTATCAATCTTTGAAAATTAAATGTGGTAAAATTTTACACAATTTTATTTATAATTCATTATTATTTAATATTTATTAATACTGTTCTATACATATCCTTATTTGTAAAACTGATTAACCTGGACACCAATCTCTCTCTTTTATATGAAGTCCCCTATCACTGTTTTTCTCTCCTTTTTTACCACACATGCTTAATTTTTTCCACTCTAAAGTAGATTAGATAAATTTTTATAAATTTAAATTACAAATTTTTGGATGTAATACACATGTAAAATATACGAGCTTGTTATAAGGGGAAATAAACATTCTTCCTCAGCCATTATTCACACAATTCATCAAATAGAAAACTTAAGATACATCAACTGAAGGTAAACTGCTACAGAGAAGTACAATTTTATATTCTCATATTTTGATTTCACAAGTTAGCTTACTTGGCTAGATCATGAAGCTAAGAGTATATCCATCCACATTATAAATCCTTAGTGAATAAGAAAAGCTCTACTATAATATTTCAGAAAGCACTTCTTAAGCTGTCCTATGAATGCTTAGAAAATTGAAGAAGTGAGGATATTTCAGTGTATTCACTATTTTAGAAGAACACATCCTTAATGTGTATGATTACCAAAAGTCACTAAAGATTATATTTATAGTTGAAAGATAATCAATGGCAAGATACTTACCCAATGTAAGCAAAAATTTCAGTCTTTCAGAAATATCCAAGCTCTGAAATAATTTTCTTCCCTAAGTAAAATGGGAAAAGAAATTCTTGTTAACATATACATATTTTGTCCAGGGAGGTCTTTTTTTTTTTCAGAAATGGAAATGATTTTATCAGGTACTTCTATTTCTCTTCAGAGGTTTTATTAGATTTTTAAAGTCAGCTCCACTAAGAACAAAAAATCGTTGGTGACATAACATTTTTAAAAATGTTGCATAATATTTAACATTTAAACATTTCATATATCTAAAGATCATTACATTCTAGTTTGATCTCAAGCATTCTTCACTTTTGACACCCACATATACCTGGTTGTCTCTAGGGATTCCAGGCCACCAGGAGTCTTATTTCATTAAGAGAACAAGATGGCTCCTGGGAAAGATTCATATTACCTTCTCATCTACCAAACTAACTCTACTCATATATCATGAGCCAGGCAGTCTGCTGTCTCCATTAAGAAACATTCCAGGACCCTCCTTCCTCCTCCCACAATGACTTAGACAACCATCCTTTGTGTTCCCATAGCATCTGGTATATTTCTTTATTTTAAGACACAGATATTATATTTTGTTTTCTTATTAATTGGCTTCAGGTGGGTCCTTGGAACAGAATCTGGAATCAAACACATAACTTCAATGATTGCGTATGGAGCAACTCCTGTGTGCCAAGTTGGACTTTCCCCCACCAGTTATATAACTTGGGCAAATTACTTAACCACCTTAAGTCTCACTTTTCTCATTTATAAAGTTGGCATATTAATTGTACATGCCACACAGGTTGCAGTGAGGGTTATATAATGTATAAAAAAGTGTTTAGCATTTTTCGTACATAGAAATGTTTCATAAACGTTGGCTATTATGATGTTTCTCTTATTATAAACAAATTAAACTTATATGATCCTTTAAATAGACTTAGAAGGAGAAGGCTTAAGAAGACAGCCTGATCTTTATGTAGAGAAAAAGAGACTCTCTCATTTTTTTTTTTAATAGAGAAAGAAGAAAAAACTTTCTTCAAGACTTATGAAATTAGAACTACAGGTAGAGAGATCATTGAAAAAAGCTGCCATTCCTCTCTCTTCTCAATCTGGTACACTACTATCATATTAATCTTCTAAAAATGCAGGTTTGATTTCATCAATATCTTGTTTAAAAACTTTAAATGGCCCCTCATACCCTACATAACTAAATACAAACTTCTCAATTTAGCATTCCAAGTCTCCTAGGATATGGCTTCAAAACATCTTTTCAGTCTAAATGCTTACTACTCATCTATCCTGTGATGTACACACACACACGAAGCAGTTAACTTTGATTACTTGCAATACAGTGGACACACTGGCTGTTCAGGCCTACAGACTTGGACTCAAGTTATTTCCCTACCTAATTTTTTTTTCGTGTCTATCAAAATTCTATATATACTTTTCTTCATTCTCACTTCTGAATGTTAATTTTGTCAGTTAAAGAATTCAAAATTCAAAATTACTTTCTCTCAGCACTTTGATGGCATTGTCCCACTGTTTTCTGGCATCCACACTGCTAAGAAGTTTAATAATCTAATTGTCATTCTTTGCAGGTAGTGTGTCTTTCCTCTCTGGCATGTTTCAAGATTTTCTCATTAACACTGATAAACACATCAGAGCTTAGCAAAAGAAGTTTAGTGTGTTGGTTAAGAGTACAGCTTTGAATGCAGACTGACGGGTGCAAATCTGCTCAACCAGTTACTATTATGTAACTAGGACAGGTTGCTTAACCTCTCTGTACCTCAATTTCCTAATCTGTAAAGATAATAATTAGATAAAATTAATAATACTGGTGTTTGAGACAATAAATGTAAAGAGATTAGAAAAGTACCTGGCTCTTGAAAAGTACTCAATGAATGTTACCCATAATTACATTACTGGTTATCTCCTAAAGGTTTAGCATAAGATTTCTAGGTTTGTTGCTGCTGTTTGTGTTGTCATTTTTTTCATTTGCCTTGCAAGGTAATTGGTGGTTTCTTTCAAACCGAGGACTTTACTTCTGATCCTACTATAGACAGACATTGGAATGTCTGGGTCTATCTTTCCTGTCTTTTAAAATTTTTTTTATATTTTCAATCTCTCTTTGTGACATATTCTGGGAGAATTACTCAGCTTCATTTCCTATATTCAGTGTGTCCAGTTTCCTATGATCCATCTATTTCAGTTCTTTATTTTGATAATTACATATCTTTTTTCTTAAAACTCTTAACGGGTTCTTGTTCTTTTTGGTCAATGTTCTTGATTCATAGTTTGTATAATTGTTTCATGAATGGAATTGTTTCCTTTGTCTCTTAAAGAACACAAACATTTATTTTAAAGTCCTTTCAATGGTTTAGATTCTTCTATTTGTTGTTTCTTTTTTACCGTAGAGGTCATCTTTAGATGTTTGGTGTTTCTTAGATATGCACGCATCTTTTAATACAGAACTCTCTTATACATCTTTTGGACAATGGAAACCTCTGAGTGACAGAGTGGCTGTACTGACTTTCTGGTGATACGGCAAGAGCTTCCTAGCAAAATGGTTTTGGAACAGCTTCTTATCTATTTCCTTGGAATTTCTAGTGTACCAAAAATTCCCTTTTTTACTTGTTGGTGTGTTATTAATTTACATCTTAATATTTTATAGGAAATCTAAAGGTTGGATGAGGTAGAGGAAGATTTAAGCTTATGTTCAATCTGCCATCCTAAAACTAGACTGTCTAAACTTTGAGTACCACTTAAAACGTCAAGAAGCCCCTATGAGGGAATTAATATTTCGTTTCTTGGAATTCACACATCTCTCTGTGTTCATCTTCAAAGTTTATGGATTTGAATTAAATTATAAGCTCTTTGACAATGTGTCTTAACTACAGTTTATTCCTTGTTGCATTTGTCATGACACTATACACAATAAATACTCATCAACATTTGCTGAATTGAACTACTCATACAAGACATACCCAAGATCATTAATAAAAAGTTTAGATATAGGTGATGGTAATAAAAAGGAAAAGCTGTATACTTTACACTTAATGCTTATGTATACTTTGCATTCACATCTAAGTAAGATTTTTTATTTGGCTATGATTTTAAACAAAAATGAGATTTATTATCATTGCATACCAATGAAAAGTAAGATGGTCTAGACGAAAGATAGCAAAGAAATCAGAAAAACTGGCATCTGCCCTTAGAAAAAGCAGTGCCAATATGTAAGCTACCATGTTATTGTAAAGATTTTAATATCAATAATAAAAGCTAACATTTATGAATTGTTCGCTATGTAACATTCTGTACTAAGTACTTTTTATACATTATTTCATGTAATTTTTCCAGCAACTTTACAATATAGATACCATTATTTATAGAAGTGGAACCAAAGCCTGGAGAAGTTAGGTTAGTTACCCTAAGTCATACAGCTATACTGTGCAGCATTAGAATTCAAACCCAGTTTTCTCTGACTGTAGAAGCTTGTCTCTTAACTATTATGCTTTAGTACGTCTGCTGTTGAATTAGTTCTTAACTACCCAAAAAGAAGAAAATGTCAACTTAATTCTTAGATATGGTAAAAATCGATGAATTAATATTTTCAAAATATTTTGAAAATCCCTTGGAAGACAGAAACAATGGATGAATAATAAAAACTTCTGCCTCTAAAGACCTCACAGTCCAAGTACAGTAGACAAATGTGACAAATGCTGTAAAAGGGGAGAGCAAAGAAGACAGGGACCTAACACTGGCAGGTATTTGCAGGTAGGATCGACAGATTGTTAGCTGTCTCTCCAAAATTATTCTCATCTTGGACATGACAAACTGTTAGTTGTCCCTCCAAATCCATTCTCATCTTCTTTCTCAATATTTAGGTGTCCAGCTAAAGACAACATTTCTTAGTCTCCCTTGTATGCATATGTGGCCACATGAGTAAACTGTCACTAGTCAAAAGTACCAAGTTGATACTTTCAACTTTTAGATCATCTTAAAGACAGTTACCATGAACTTACTCCTCTCCTTTCCTCATGGCTACAAAAGGTGACAAAGAGAGCAACTCTGGAAACCAGACGCTGAGAATGGTGGAGCCATCCCTGATAGCCTAGGTTTCCACATGACATTGTGGAACAGAGCCCACCCTACCCTCTCTGGACTGTTAGATGAGGGAGAAAATCATCTATGTTATTTACGCTACTGCATCTTTAATTCCTTTGTTTCTAATAGCAGCTTAGTCATTACCCTAACAAATATAGAGGATATCTGCGGAAGGCCTCATAAAAAGCCAACTCAACTACACAGTGAGTCTTATAGGAAACATAAGAGAACAGGAGAGGAGAAGGTATTGAAGGAAGAAAGACCACCAAAGAAGGGAGAGAGAGCATGAACATATCAAAGAGTGTAAGTAGTTTTAGTGTAAACATTTCTAAAAATGTTTAATTTTTTACACTTAGTACAGTACAAATCTTTTATACTTAATAAAAATGTAAGCATTTCTAGAGATACCAAAATAATATTTACTTAGTAAAATTTACCTTTACACTTAGTAAAACTGTAAACACTTCTAGAGATACCAAATTAATATGCAAATAAATTGTCAAATAGAATTTTTTAAAAAGTCAAATTGCGATTTAAGCCTTTTCTCTTCATATCTAGTTAATTCGCAAAGCAAAAACATATTATTACTAAACAGCTTTCTATCCAAGAAGATTATTCTAATAAACACACAATTTCTTTTTATTAGTTTAATATTTCTTTATACATACCACGCAAAGCTCAAATAAAATGATTCCAAGAGACCACACATCCGATTTGGGGCCAGAAGGCAATGGTTTTTCATTTGGCACATGATCAGTCATTTTGAAAATTCCTTGTGCAATTACCTCGGGTGCCAAGTACGATGGATACCTATAGCAACATATTAAACATGAATAATCACTATGCACTACGAAGGGGGAAAGAAGTAGTTTTTGCTCTCAGTATGGTAAGATCTATGTAATGTGTGACTAAATTAAGAACTCCTGCTAGGAAGGATTCTAGCTAACCATCATAATACAGGTCTTGATGTCCAGGAACGAAAGCAAATCTCTCTGAGCCAGCAGTGACTTTGAGACTACCACCTCTCTCTGCAGCACTAGCCCCTCTCTCTGCTTTCCTCTGTGTTTTACATGTTACCTTCTTGCAGACTTCCACGTTTCCAGGTGTTTTTCCTTCCTCCTTACTGCCTGTCTTCTCTTTACACTTAACTACTGTTTAAAGTACATTTTATCTTTGAAAACAGCATTTATTCTTTTGAGAAGAGGAATGTCAAAATATATAAATTGAAAAGTAAGACTCTCTCCCATCTCCGTACTCTGTACGTCACCCACACATACTACATAGAGATAAACTGACCACCCATTACCATTGCCCCGCAGGGCAGCATGCTATACATATGAATCCATACCCCTTTGTTGCTCACTTAAATATATTTTAGAGATCATTCTACAAAAGTAAGTATAGATTTGCCTCATTGTTTTTGAAAACTGCCAATAATTTCATTGTATTCCTGCACTTAATTTATTTCACCAAGCTCTGAAGAAGGACATTGTGAAAGTTCCATTCTTTCGCTATTACCAACATGCTGAAATGAATATATTATAAATATTACATTTCCAACAAATGTATGTATAGATGACAAATTCCTAGATGTGGCACTACATAGTCATAAGGTCTGTACATTTTAAGTTTTGATATATATCACCAGGCTGCCCTTTCAGCTTGTATCAATTCATATTCTCATAAGAGTGCCTATTTTCCTCACCTCCATCAACAGGTTTTTTTGAAAACTTTTAGTAAATACTGAGTAAATACAAAAGACAGACTATTAAATATGAATAAAGTATAAAGAATAAAATGTCAATGAACACCCATGCACCTACCAAGTGGTTTAAGAATATGAAATGACGACTAAAGGGTCTCCCTCTGCTTTTCCCTAATTGTATCTCCCTGGTATCCCCCAAAAGGAACAGACAACTGCAATTTTTGTGTGTATAACTCCCTTCCATTTCTTTATAGTTTTACCATGTTTGATTCCCACAATGTATATTGTTCAGTCAAGTATATTTCTGAACTTTATATTACTGGAATTATGCTGAGAGTATTCTTTCGTGATTTGCTTTTTTAATCAACATTTATTTGAAAGAGTCATTCATATTGTTGTATGTAGCTGTAAGTCATTAATTTTTATTTCTGTTTTATGAATATATCATAATTTATCAATCCTAATGTCAATGGTCATTTGTTTCCTGTTTTTTAATATTATAAGCAATGTTGCTCACAATACTATGTACGGTGTACATCTGCAGAAGTTTCCCCAAAGATAATCCTAGGATTGAATTTCTAGGCCATAGGACGTGCACTTTCAACTTAATGGTATCATCCCAAATGTTTTCCGTAGGGACTTGTACCAATTTATACTCCCATCAGCAATGTATGACAGGTCCTATTGTTTATTTCTTCTCCACCACTTGTTGGACAGTAGTGACAGACTTTATAATGTTTGACAATCTGGTGGGTGAGACCTATATATCACTGTTTTTTTTTTTTTTTATTGTGGTAACATTGGTTTGTAACATTGTATAAATCTCAGGTGTACATCATTATACTTCTATTTCTGCATAGATTACATCAAGTTCACCACTCACAGACTAATTACAATCCATCACCACACACGTATCACTGCAGTTTTAATTTGCATTTCCTTGATAATTAAAGAGATTGAGGCATATTCTCATACGTTTATTAGCCACTCGGGTTTGCTATTGTGTGCAGTGCCTGTTCACGTCTTTTGTCCATTTCTCCAGTAGGTTGTTGTGTTGGAGTCCCCAAGAACATCCCCACACTTTGGGATTCACTAGAAGGATTCATGGACTTAGCATATAGATGTACTCACAGCCAAGATTTATTACAGTCACAGAGTAAGGATGCATAGCTGGATCACAAGGGAAAATGACACAGAGGGAATCTGGAGGAATCTATATGCAGGCTTCCTTATGCTCTCTCTCTCCTATCAGGGGTCACACAGAGCACACTTCACCCAGCAACAAAAATGTAGTAACGTGTATGCAATGCTTCTGGCCAGGGAAGCTCATTGTCCAAGGTTTTTATTGGAAACTTGTCATAGAGGCACCCTCTGCCTAGCACATACGAAAATTCAAGACGCCTAGAAGGAAAGCCAGTGTTCAGCATAAACTGTATTCTCTGTGCAAACAGGCACAGTAAACCTGCCTTATCAGTTAGGGAACCGTGGGATCAAACACTTTTGGAATTCAAGTACCCAGGTGCTATCCAAGGACCAAGGATGCAAGCAGGACTTAGTTTCTAAGGATAGCAATCGCATGCCTGCTACGTTAACCCTTTCCTGTACAGTTGTTGATATTTTATTGTTTTGAAAGAGTTCTTTATAATTCTGGATATGAATTCTTTTTTCAGTAATTATGACTTGAAATACTTTCTACCACTCTGTGGCTTGTCTTTTCATTCTCTTTATGGTATCTATTTATGAATGAGAAGTTCTTAATCTTCCAAAAATTAATTAATCTTTTCTCTCATACTTAGTGATTCCGTATCATGTCAAAATGATCTCCTGTGTTATTTTCTAAAAGTTTGATGGTTTAGCCTTTCATATTTATGTTTCTCAATCTATTTAGAATCAATTTTTCATATGATGAAAGATAAAGGTACAATTTTACCTTTATTCCTATGTGGAGAATCAACTGAACTCTGTTCCATATACTGAAAACCCTATTTTCCCCCAACTAGTCCATAGTGCCACCTTCTATCACAAATCAAATCTCCACACATGTTGGTTTGCATCTTGGCTCCCTGTTTTGTTCCATTGGTAAATTTGCCTAATGTTGTACCATTATACTATGTTAGGTCTACAACATTATATAAATAATTACTGATAACTGCTAAGACAAGCCCCCTCAAAACACACACAGCTTTTAACTTCTCTTCAGGAGTGTCTACGCACTTGTCAGATGTTTGTTCCATATATACATTTTAGAACTATCTTGTCAAGTTCTCTCTCTCTCATACACACACACACAAACACATACACAGTTGGAATTTTTATTGAAATTAGATCAAATGTAGAGACAGGCTGGGGAGAACTGGCATCTTTCTGATACTGACCCTAACAATCTATGAACATGATATCTCATATTTATTTAGGTCTTCCTGATGTCTTTCAAAAAAGAGTTCTATTTTCCACAAAGGTATTAAATGTACTTGATTAGATTCTTTTGAGGTATTTCATATCTTTTGCTGATTTGTAAATCATTTCTTTGTATTAATTTTGTATCCAGCAACCTTCCTAAATCCTAATCATTTATGGGAGGATTCTTTTGAGTGGTCTTTGTAGATCATCAGATCAGTTATGTTTAACCGATTTGTTTATAATGACAGTTTCGTTTCCACCTTTCTATTCTTACAGCTTTTAGTTCTTTCACTGCCTCATGTGCTGACTAAAACCTCTGTCCAATATCAAAAAAAGTGATGACAGTTGACCTCTTTGTCTTGGTCCTAATCTTTAAAAAAATACTTTTAACTTTTCACCATTATAATTTCTTTGCAAAAAATTTTTATCAGTGCTAATCATGAATAAATTGTGAAAATTTTTGAACACCTCATTTGCATCTATTACAAAGAGAGTATACAATTCTTTTCATTTTATATGCTAATGAGTTTAATTACATTAATTAATTTTCTAATGTTTAACCAAGCCTAACCCTAAAATTCCTGGGATTTTTGTTTCTAGTAATTTCACTGAAAAAAACGATAATTTTTTCTCTTTTCCAATTTTTATATATATCTGGGTTTTTTCCTTGTCCAGCTGTATTCATTAGTACCAGCAATACATTGTCAAATGACAGAGGTGTTAATAAACATTTTGTTTTGAACCTGCTATTTTTTTTTTTTGAGGAAGATTTGCCCTGAGCTAACATCCGCAGCCAATCTTCCTCTTTTTGTATGGCCACGCCACAGCATGGCCACGGACCGACTAGTGGTGTAGGTCCATGCCCAGGAACTGAACCCGGGCTGCCAAAGCAGAGTGCACTGCACTTAACCACGAGGCCACTGGGGCTGGCCCTGAACCTGCTAACTTTTGCGTTGAGATCAATCTTTCTACGTAATGACAGACAGATATAGACAGGTGGGTGATTTTCATTATGTTAGGGAAGTATTCACATAGTCGCTTTTTATTAAGAATTTTAATCAAGCATGTAACTGACGTTGAATCCATCAAATGTTTTCAAGCATCTACAGAAATGATTACTTGATATTTTATTTCTGATATATTATCCTGTTAAACTATACTTACAGATTTCCTAAACTACCTGCATATTGTTAGAATAAACCACACTTGATAGTGTCTTCAAATATGCTTCTGGTTTTTGTTAACTTTTCTATTTAGGAATTTTTACATTAATATAATATATACTATTATGTATGATAAATAATAAAACATAATAAGATTTGTATTTAAATATTTTATGCAGTATCTTTGAGAAGTCTTAGGATTAATGTTACACTAGCTTATTAAAAAAGATATTGGAAGCTTTTCTTTTAAAAAAAATGCTGAAATATACAGCATTACAATTTAACCAGCAAGGAATTTAACCATTCATTACAGGTTTGGAAGAATTTGCCTATGAGTGTAGTCCAGGTATCTTTGTGGGGAAAGGCAACGTTTTCTACACTTCTATTAACTGGCATTTTTAAATTTTAAAATTCTCTTGGGGAGTAAGTTTTGCTGACTCGTATTTCTCCTCCAATCAACCATTTCATCCTAGTTTTCAAATTTGTGCAGAGTTAAGCAAAAATAGTCTATTGAGTCTTTTAATGTTCTTTAATTCTCTAATACTTTTCCATTACCACATCTTATTTTGTGCATTTGAGTTCTCTGCCTTTTTCCTGATTAGGTTAACTAATAACTAAGATAAATTTGTGTTTATCAAGTACAGGGAAATTCTTAGGAAATTCAATGGTAAATATAAAAGAATTGGTATGAAAATCATAATAAAATATCTTCCTATCAGACTAAAACACTTTTAACATCTTCTGTCTTTTAAATTCACAAATGTAAACCCCTTTTTTAATAATAAAAAGACAAAGCCTTTATAAAGAGTATAGAGTCGGCCCTCAGCGCTCTGTAGCCATGGTTCTGCACACAAGGATTCAATCAACCCAGGATCCTGTAGTATGTCTGTGATCTGCGGTTGGTTGAATCCGAGGATGCGGAACCCGCGGCTACCGAGGGCCAACTAAGGGACTTGAGCATCCACAGATTTTGGTATCTGCAGGGGGTCCTGGAACCAATCCTCCGCAGATACTGAGGGACGACTGTATTCTATCAGATGTGTCAAACTTCTAACTTTAATTTTCTGATAAACTCATTGTATGAATAATTCCATGAAATCTTAAGTTGATCTGCTGAGACGGCAATTATTTCTCCTCTCAGTGAACCCCCATTGTATTTTATCTGTATCTTTCTTATGGTCCTCTAATGACTACAAGGTACTTATTTCACCTATGCTATATGTTATGTAATAGACTATACATGATATGTAATACTATACATTTTTATGTTTTTAATATTTAACATACAAAAATTTACCTTCCTGTCTTTAAAAAAAACCAAACCCCTTGAGGGCACTGGTGGCCCTTATTCATTTACATAAACCCTCAGCAACTACCAATGAAACAAATATAAGATACGCTCAGTATATTTTTGTTAACAAAAGAGTATTTCCTATCAAAAATGCCAGTTAGGCCTGCCTTACATCGCTTCTCGGCCTTTTGGCTAAGATCAAGTGTACGACTGCCTTACAGACAACAAGTTAAAAAGTGGACAGTACATAAGTATCAGACATATTGACAATTACTAAATTTGAATCTTACTGCCCAGAAACAAAAGGAACAAAAATAGCTTTAGAAGAGAAATGAAAAATGAGTGAAATTCTGTCCTACTTATTGCATATATGCATGCTCTTTCTTCATTTATTGTCAGATTTAGTCATGAGCACAACTATCTGGAGTTTTCAACTCGCTGACATTAGATTATTACGCCACTCTGCAATAATGACTGTAATCAAAATGCATTTAAGTATACATAACATCTATGTCTGGTGGTCTAGTGGTCAAGAGCCGGTGCTCTCACCCTCACGGCTTGTGTTTGTGTCCTGGTCAGGGAACCACACCACCTGTCTGTCAGTTACCATACTGTGGTGGCTGCATGTTGCTGTGATGCTGACAGCTGTGCCACCAGTATTTCAAATGCCAGCAGGGTCACCCGTGGTGGACAGGTTTTAGCCGAGCTCCCATAGTAAGACAGACTAGGAAGAAGGACCTGGCCACCCACTTCTGAAAAAACTGGCCATGAAAACCCTATAAACAGCAGCGGAGCCTTGTCTGATACAGCGCTGGAAGGTGAGAGGACGGAGCAGGAAGACTGGGCAGGGCTCTGCTCTGCTAGGAGTTGGAATCAATTCGATGGCACTAACAACAAACGTCTATGTAATATATGTAACGCAGGCAATCAAATATTACTTCTGTTTCTCTTCCTGTGTTTTTCTACAGTCACCTCCTCACACTATGATTGCCAGTACTTCTTATTTACATGTAGAATACAAGTCAATTAAGTCAAGGAATATAACTTAAATTCAAATGGGTAAATTAGGTTTTTTAATTGCTTTTTGTTTTAATACAATGACGACGGTGATATTAATAATTTGCTCCTGTATTTCTCTCATACACAAATTTGTATTATGTCATTTCACCCTAAGGTAATCACAGTGCTTTTCTAAATGATAATGTGTGAAATCTCTGGAGACAACTGAAGTCTAATGGAAAAAGCACTGGACTTGATATTATAACACCTGTTTTCTAATTTCAGTCCTAGCTCATATTCTATATAAGATTTGAGTTCCTTAATCTGTAAAATAGGAATAATAATGCCTACCTCACAAAACTGTTATAAATATTAGTGAATACATAAAGATGTTTTATAAAAATGGAAAATATGACACAAATGCAATGTTGTATTTTTATTATCATCACCATGATACATCTAGAAGGCAAATTATTCATTTTTAATTCTAATTTCCAGCACATCTAACCCCAAAATAATAGTATGGGTAGTGAAAAGTCAAGCAATATTATAGGTAAATTGTTATATCTAAAACTTATGACTGGTGATCTCTAGAAGCATAGAGGTGACCCTTGCTCCAAAAATTCTAATTTCCCGTCTAATCAAAGACTGATTAAATTAATTCACAAAAATAATAAGCTCTAAGACAGTTTTTTAATGTAGATTACCTCCTTTCAACAAGTGTCTCCTCTTTAGCAGAGCATTTTAACACTCAAAGAAAACTACCAGGACTGTGCAGTGAGTATGACTGGTGAGGTGAAACGGCTTTCATCTGCCTGAGGTTTTAACAAGGTATTAAGCTACCGGCCAGCTGAAATGAGTGTCCAACTTCTAACTCCTCACACTGTTTTGAAACAGATGTTAACATTTTACTTTGTTATTCCTTAATATATGTCTTTTAAATCAACTGCAAGCCTCTTCTGGTGTAAATATTTTCTTTCATGCCTTAGCTGTTTGATCACTTTATTTTTCCTGGCTAATGTTTCACATTTTGCTCTTTGATACTTTCTAGTTAGACCCTTTGGGTCTAACACTCCAAAGTAAGCCAGGCCAAATGGCACACAAGACCAATTCTATCCAAGCATTTTAAATTCAAACATAGTTCTTCAAAATGCTTGATGTGCTTTAAGAAAAATCACTTCCTTTCTTCTTTTCATCACTAAAACCTAAAGCACCTTTAAGTAAAAGGTAAAAAATTAAAGTAATTTTTGTTTGTATTATGTTTTGGGAGTTCTTCCTCACATAAACTGATTTAGACAAAATGAAGCAGCAGCAGAAATCACATTTACTACAGCTCCTTAAAAGCTACTTCAAAAGGCAATTACCACATATGACGAAGATAGTAGAGCTTTACTATGAACTTATTTTTCTTTATATTCACGAGTTTTTCTTTTTAAAAAACAAAGCGTAGGCTATTTTTACAAAATATTGTTTTCGTGCTTGTGAAAACAACTGTTTGTTGCCTATGACCACAAGTTTTAGTATGCAAAATTATAAGATTATGAATTTATGTACCTTAATAAGTAGGCCATCAAAACAGAAAATGTTCCCATTAAACAGTGAGCTTCTTGAGAACAGGAACCTATCTTATCCATTCTTGTATATCCAGCAGCCAGAAAGGAAGGTGGTGGATAAATATTTTCTTAATAAATAAAGGAAGGAGTAATGAAATTTATTTTAAGATTATTAGCTATGGCCTAACTAACAAAAATGTTAGGTAAGAAACCTACAATCTAACTTAGAAAGATAAAAGAGTAACTTATAAGTGAGACATTTTTTTTTTAAACATCTAAGTTTTTAAGCAATGTTCTCCTGCAGAAACAAACTCCGTGACTCCAAAGCACACTCCCCAATAATGGAGTGACAGGACTGATGGTAGCGAGTCCAAAGAGCCAAACACAAATGGATACTGTTAGCACAGCCACATGGCAATGAGGTCTCCAGATTAGGTAACGGTATTACATCTATTCTAATTTCCTGCTTTTGATCATTGTTTTGTGGTTATATAAGACAATTCCTTACTTTAGGAAATACAAACTGAAGTATTTAGGGGTGAAAGGACATTATATGCCCTAATTACTCTGAAATGATTAAAAAAATAATATTTATACACACATACACATATATGTGTAAGAGAAAAGAAAAAGATAAAGTAAACATAGAGAAATGTTAAGTAAACAGAGAAATGTTAACACTTGGGGAATGTGAGTGAAGGCTATACAGGAATTCTTTGTACTATTTTGTAATTTCTATGTGTCTAAAGTAATGTCAAAATTAAACACTCAAAAAATAAAAGAATTATAGTATTAAAATGTTTAAAAAGGAACCACACAATAAATATAACACAAAAATCTATATCAAAAGCATCCAACTGAGTACAAGATGAAATAAACTTTCATTCCTGTCTTGGAAGCCAAGATAAATCTGGAATTTCGTATCAGAAGTGATCAAATAAACCTCTCCAAACTTCATCTCAGACTTTCAGGTAAAGAATCTACCCATTACCTCTGATATCTACAATGGCTCGACTTGAGTCTTAATATACAATTATATCTTAGAGACTAGGGAATTAAACTCAGAAACAATAGAAAATAACATAAGAGTGATTTTTCTCAGTCTTTTGAGGAACGCACATTATCATTAAGGGAGAATCTGGTCAGCCTTCTTGCCTTAAATTTACCTAATTCTGAAGGAAATAAAATTAATTGGTGAGAATTATAAGGTCAAGAGCGTAGTAATCGGATAGCTTCTCGGCCAATTCAATGAAAGATCAACATCAAGGATCTTGTGGATGCTGGGAAAAACTCGCTGTTTACTCTTTTTAAAAGTATATGGAAAATCAAGATTTATTAATACAGAAAAGCCAGTTTTGTGTCAAAAGTAATATCAGTAATAATTAACAAAATATACACTATATCAAAAATTACAAAGTTTAGACAGAACTGAGAAAAAAAGAAAACATATTCTTACCCAATTGGGAAATCAACATCATCACCATGAGCTGTCATGTGATAAAGTCCAAATTTAGCCAATTTAACATGTCCCTACAATAATAAAGGAAAAAGAATCACTATGAAATATTTTAATATTACTGGGACGAAAAATTATCATTCTACATTTTATAAAGAAGGAAATTATTATATAGTCAGATACATTAAGAAAAAATTGTATTTTAATTTACCATAATTTTATTAAAAACTATTTGCCAATGTTTGAAGTCTGCTTTATACTCATTACAAATATATATATGTATAGGCATACATATATGTATGTACATAAACACACATATTTTATATATATACATATATATATATATATCAATGACAACACTTAAAAAATTTTTGCTGTTTATATTTTCTAAGCTTTCTGACAAAGCCAAAAAAGCAAAAATGTTCTTATTTGTCTTGAAACCTTGCTTAGAATATTTTGTGGTAATTTTCACAAAAGAAGTATTTTTCAGGAAGTTGCAAGTCCATTCATAATGTTATAATTTAACCCTGACATAGGAGTTCTTAACTTGAAAAGATCAGTTCACAAATCATCAAGATATTAGTGAATCTGCTAGATTTCCAACAAGTTTTATATTGTTTGAGAATAACTATATTATCACAAAAGTGAGATTCTTAATAAAAGGCAAATATAAATTCTATAGATGTCTCAAGTTTTTCCCTTTTTAGATGTTTAAGACTTTAAAAAAATTAAGTTGATTTTAAATTGGTTTCGGGGGCCGGCCAGGTGGTGCAGCGGTTAAGTGCATGTGCTCCGCTTCAGCAGCCTGAGGGTTCGAAGGTTCGGATCCCGGGCATGCACCGACGCACCACTTGTCAAGCCATGCTGTGGCGGCGTCCCATAGAAAGTAGAGGAAGATGGGCACGGATGTTAGCCCAGGGCCAATCTTCCTTGGCAAAAAAAGATGAGGATTGGCATTGGATGTTAGCTCAGGGCTGATCTCTCTCACAAAAAAAAAAATAAATAAATAAAATAAAATTGGTTTGTTTTCTTTTTCTCACGAACTTTACTTCCTAGCATTAAAAAATGTTTATATTTTAAAACAATTCAGATTGGTTAGATAGTCTACTGCCATAAATATGAAATTAATGAGCACCATTTTATCATTTGTAATTTTTAATACCATAAGGTAATGGTACTGAAAGTTTGGAAGGTATAAACACTGATAAACAAAGACAAGTGGGGAATAAAGTATAGAAGAGGAAATATGGGGCCAGCCCTGTGGCTTAGCGGTTAAGTGCGCACGCTCTGCTACTGGCGGCCCGGATTCAGATCCTGGGCCATGCTGAGGCCGCGTCCCACATACAGCAATTAGAATGATGCGCAACTATGACATACAACTATCTACTGGGGCTTTGGGGGGAAAAAAAGAAAGGAGGAGGATTGGCAATAGATGTCAGCTCAGAGCCGGTCTTCCTCAGCAAAAAGAGGAGGATTAGCATGGATGTTAGCTCAGGGCTGATCTTCCTCACAAAAAAAAAAAAAAGAAGAGGAAATAGGGAAGGAGAAGAATCAAGAAGAGAAAATACAATGCAATTGTTCTATGAGAAAAAATATTCAATGGAAATAGTCAGAGAGGCTTTCTTCTTAAGAAATTTGCTTTCTTCTTAAGAAAGCTAATTCAGAGAAGGGGTGGATTGGGAAGCTACAATGCGTATCTTTTAGAAAATGAATGAAATGAAAAACAAAACATGAAGTTAGAAAATGAGTCTTAGGAAAAAAAGAACAATGCATGTAAAAGACACATGGATTTACATAACTTAAAGATAGTTGTTTTTTTCTAACAACCACAAGTACATCACTTTCATATAGTCTTTTCATTATAAATATTCTTAAAACATATTCTTATTCTATAGTCCCTCCGATTAACTAAGTGGGCCTGATTTCAGTAGCTTCCGACCTCAAATAACAAACAAATATTTAATGAATTATCTGATGATTACCTTTCGGTCCAAAAGGATATTATGAGGAGACAGTGCCCGGTGTACTATCCCATGTCTGTTCATATACTGTAAGCCCTGAAGCACCTCAAATGCTATGCACAAAACCCTCGAATAGCTACAAAGAAAGCAAAAAGTCACAGATCAACAGACCAATTAAAAAGCAGATACAGAACCTGTTTTAAGGGAAAAAATGAAGTTTAGTGATAAAATTTGAAAAGTTATATTTTCACTGTTCCTCCTCTACTCAGAGAAAATAGAACCTATACATTTTCTAAAATATCCACTTGTATGTATTTTGGATTTTCCGATTACAGGAGAATTGATCTGACAAAGATCCTACAGTTTTCTAAAGGCTATTCTAATGGCAGAATTTGTTCTTCCAGGAAGGGAGTTTAATTTTGTTGGTATGCAACTGACCTTCTGGAGGTCTGGCTTTGCCAAATTACCAGGAAAGTTTCAGATACATGGCAGAACTAAGTCAACGAAAACCACCTATCCTGCTCAAGACAAAATACCTAAGTCCCTGAAAAATAGCTATATTTTATGGTAGACAGACGTGAGCTCAATTTCCGTATCAATCCACAAAGCAACCTCCAGTAACTTATGATTTATCAGACATTTCTCTTTAATTCTTACCCTGTTCTCTCTAAACCATCTACCACAGGGATGCCCAGTTTCTTTCTTTCTCTCTCTCCCTTCCTCTCCCTCTTGCTCCAATTTTTTTTTTTTAATCAAACATCATTCATGGAGGAAGTTAGGAATGATATACAGAAAAGTAGGGAAGCCTAATTCAAACCCACTCCCCCAAATCACCAATATTAACATTTTCGAATAGATTTCTTTTCTACCCATTTTTTGATATTTTTAATCAGACTTTAAAAAATTAAATTAATATCTGCAGGTAACCACTAAAAGTAATTTTTAAAAGAAGTATAAATAACAAGCTAACAGTGGAGATAAAATGGAATTATGAAAAAAATCAAACCAAAAGCAGGCAGAATAAAAGGAAAAAAGAACAAAGAACAAATGGAACAATTAGAAAACAACTAGCAGATTTTAATTCAGACATATCAACCATTACATTAAATGTAAATGGTCTAAACCCACCAATTAAAAGAAAAAGATTGTCAGATTGGATAAGAATTAAGATTCAATTATATTCAGTCTACAAGAAACCCACATTAAATAAAAGATGTAAGTTAAAAGTAAAAGGATGGAATAACAGATCACTGTTTGTCATGGGCTTCGGTGGGGGGATGGGTTGACTATAAAGGAGTATGAGGAAATTTTGTGTGATGGAAGTGCTCTATTCTTGATTTTGATAATGGTTACAAGACTGCGTTTGTCAAAGTGATTGAACTATACACTAAAAAGGGAAAATTCTAAGGTGTGTAAATTATACCTCAATAAACCTGATATTAAAAAAAAGCAGGCTGAATAAAATTTTAGAAAAATAGTTGCATATGACTCCCAATTAAAAATTCTAAATTAAAACCAGAAGAAAGAACCAGAGATGAAAAGCTAAAATCTCTCTCTCCTCTCATCCTAGTCTGACTTTCCAGAGGTAACCACCCTTAGCAGTTTCTGTTTTCAGTTCTTCTGGTGGTTAGATTTTTATTTAATATAATTAACTCTCTTCACTACACAAGATGATCTAATTAACATACTTTCACAACCTTCCCAACTCCTGATTTTTATTAGTTATATTATTTCTACATTATCAAATTTTATAAATGAGATAAAAGAAACCTGCATTCCTTTCTTGAAGGTTAAACAAACAATACATAATATGACATACAGTGATTAAATGCTAAGGAGAAAAAGTAGGGAAGAGACGAGAGAATGTACGGTAGCAGGTTGCTTTATATGTAGAGTATGATCAAGGAAGTTCTCAGTGAGGCAACATTTGTGCAGAAACCTAAAGGAAGTGAAAAAGACACGTAGCTCTCTGGGAAATGTGTGATTCAGGCAGAGGGCACAGTAAGTTCAAAAAAGTGCAATGAAGCCATTGTGCATGCAGTAGAGTAAGCAAAGGGTAGGAGATGAGGTGGTCAGAGAGGTCGCAGGGAGCCAGATCATGTAAGGCCATTTAGGCCACTGTACAGCCTTTGGCTTTTACTCTGAGACAGATGGGAGGTGACTGGCACACTGTTGTACTACGATTACTAAATATGCACTGCAGAACTAATCAGGGAAGGAAATATAAACCTAAGCCACTTAACCCCTAGCTCTCAAGAGAAAATGTCTCAGTCACGTGGATTTAATGGATACTATAATTTTATAATTATAACTCTATTCATGAAGGTTATCATCAGCTACTATTATTTTTTATACTTCTTATTTATTCTTTTGTATTTCACTTTATTTAGGTGGAATACATCCATGAGAAAATTTTTCGTAAGGGTGGCATAAAATTTCATAGGAAATTTTAAAGCATGGCATGTCTTAAAATATCTTATTCTTGTCCTTAAACTTGGGAAGAATTTCTCCACTGTCTTCAAGTGTTCTTCATTATGGCAAGAAGTCTTAAGTCAGTCTGATTCTAATTTTGTTGTAGATACCCTTTTATTCCTCTTTGGAAGCTTTTAGGATTCTTTTGTACTTTATCTTTAGACTCATAAAATTTTAGCACAGTATGTCTAGAGTGTGGGCATTTGCATATTTGTGCTAGTAAGCATTAGGTGTGCCCTTTTAATCTGAAGTCTCCCATGTTCCATTAACACAGAAACATTAACACGGAAAAGTGGATTTGTCATGTCTTTGATTATTTTCTCCCTCTACTGTATCTTTGATTGCAACTCTTAGCAAGCTGATGAAAACTGGATCTATTCTCTGTACCAACTTTCTGTTTTACTTCCTACAAGCATGGCCTTTAGCCCTATCCATTATATTATTTAATTTCCAGGATCTCTCTTCTTTTCTCTAGCTGTTTCTTTTCAATAAATCCACTCTTTGGTTATGGATACCTTACTCTTTTGAGTCTCTCTGAGGATACTTACTAGAATTCTTTTAATTTAGGAAACAAGAAAGTGTGTTATCTTCATTTCCTCTGAGATAAGTTCTTTTCTTCCTCCCTTGGCTCTCTTTCTCTCAACCTATTTTTTCCACAAATGTCTGGTAATTCCTGGTTGTCAACTGTATTTTAAAATAAAGCAATAAATTGATATTCCCCATGAAGTGTGTAAAAAAGAAACAATAAAAGTTACTATTTATAAAGAATGCTTATTTAAACTGACCTGTAAACTATTCCTCTTTATCAAACAGTGTCTCCCATATTAAAGCGCCACAACAGCCAGTCTTAAGCAAATAGGGAAGGTGTGAAGATCAATTTGGAATTAATAGTTTTCATAAACATCCTCAGAAAATAAACCAACTATGTAAAGGAAAAGACTCCAAACTTTAAAACTACTATAATTACATTGATAAATATGTGTGCATGAAAGAATGCAAACCCCTCCCCTCTGAAAAACAAAGAAAAACTTTCCTTGAGATGATTAACGAATAAAACGTAAGAACCTAGTGTTCTGAGCTCATGTGGCTCTGAGTCACCTTTAGAGTAGAATCTCTCTTGCCCTTGTTCTCTTCCTCTCTTCCTCTAACACACACACACACACACACACACACACACACACGCACGCAATTCACAAAATCTTAAAAGCTGATGTCATATTCAGCTGCGACACTAGAGGACCTCAGTTGCACACTACTTCAATATAGACGTCTTTCGTGAAATTAAAACCAAATCTTTAAGGTGATTCTTCCATTAAACCAGTTCTGAAACAGCTGAAGACAGAAGACTGCATGTTCTACTTTCTCTACTTGCCTTTGCTAATTGATTGTAAGACATAATCGGAAAATACTTGCATGTCAAAAAGCACATATTCATGCTATTATCAAACTGATGAGCATATACACTGAAATAATTTTTAAAAATTCAAACATAGCTGAAGCTCATGACATGTCTTTTTTTAGCTATTACTTGAGACTACATATGAATCAGTTAATGGACTCAGTACTCTTCAGTTTAAATCACACAGTACATCAGATTTGCTTTGCTGTTCTTTTGTACTTCCAGGTTTTAATTTTAAAATTTATTTTAACTTAGACTATGAAATCTTTTTAAAAATCATTTTGAAGTAGCTAATGCAATTATAATGCAAAAGCAAGGTAAAAAAAAATCGTTATGTCCAGTAGTAGTTAGTATGTTACAGTTTAAGTGAAAATGGACTCTAGAAGGAGAGTTAAGAGAATGGGATTCACACAATTGAAAAAGAAAAAGATGTCGGCAGGGGACACAGAACTTTACCCTACACAACTCCCAAGTCAGAATCTTGTTAACAGAGAAATCCATCACTAACTTGGAAAATGTAAATTAAACTTCAAGTCAGAAAATATTCTCGTCCCTTTTGAAATTTTCAGTTACTACTGTTACTCCTAGAGACTGGGAGGGTGCATTTACTTTGTGACCATTGTCCCTGACACTATGAAAAGCTTAATGAGCATAAGTATCCTTGATGATTATAAATACATAGATACGACCAAAATGTAGCTTTCAAAATAATATGATTAATAATTTCTAATAAAGCAAGATGACGTTTTAAGATACTTTCACTTATACTCAAATGCATCAATTAAACGGCTATTAGTTGCTTGGTACTGTGTTTTTAGGCTCCTGTGTTTTCAGGCTCCATGGATACCAAGAGGAAGAATCGATCTACACAATGAAGAAACCTACAGTATAGCTGGAAAGACAGGTTTATAAAGTGACAATTTTAACACAGTTGAATCCCACAGAATTTCAATACAATTATAACTCAATAATTAAGATAGCAGGGGCCGGCCCGGTGGCGCAAGCAGTTAAGTCCGCGCACTCTGCTGCGGCGGCCCGGGGTTCACCGGTTCGGATCCCGGGCGTGCACCAACGCGCTGCTTGACAAGCCATGCTGTGGCGGTGTCCCATATAAAGTGGAGGAAGATGGGGACAGATGTTAGCCCAGGGCCAGTCTTCCTGAGCAAAAAAAGAGGAGGATTGGCAGATGTTAGCACAGGGCTGATCTCCTCACAAAAACAACAACAAAAAAATTAAGATAGCAGATGAGAATTAATCATCCTTTT